TTTTTTATCTAACTACCATCGCGGGCAATGAACACGAGTGAATAAACAAATTCTTCTTAAGGCACATTGCTATGTTCCTTTTCATTACGGAGTTCAGTTTTACAAACGCCTGCTCTTGTTCACCTCTTCATGTCATGAATTTTTATCCCGCAACTTCCTTCAAACCTCTGGTTGGTGCACTGTGCTATGAATTGGACCACCTGAGTTTGATTCCTCGCCACGGCGAACATCAGTGGTGAGACATCTGAAAACGGGTGCACAAAACCCGGTGTTGTTGAAGTACTGCGTGGGGAAACAATTCCCATGGCTGACACATCATGGGGAGGCATTCATCCTGTAGTGTATTTACAAAGAAGATGTCAATTGTGTTATTTGAGGCTATCAAATGTTTTATGCATGACAAAAATTCCCACATTTGTAGCAAATACAGTATTTTCCCAGACGGTGTGACATCATAGAACTACTTTCTTTCTAAGTCTGCCAATTGTATTGATCCGATACTCCGGGCAGCTCCCGGTTCAATCCTGCCATGCGTGATGCATCCATGATCTCATTCAAATCTGTCCTGAGCTGAATTACATTACAAATTAACACAATTTTATATTTGTTCTAGATTTGAAGCTTTCGTGAATGCAATAATTCATACTCTTTGGTTTTTTGGTAAAGTCACTGTAGGTAAAAAGTAAAATAAAATAAATGAAAACAACTAAATTTATTTAATTAAATCACTGTAACTCGCTACAGTTATTTTGCTGTGCCTTTTTACACCTGATGAGGGAGGCTTGTGTTGCCTCCGAAACGTCGTAATTTCATTTAGTTGTTTTCATTTATTTTATTTTATTGTTTTACCTACGTGACTTTACCGAAAAAAACAAAGAGTATTTATATTTGTTGTTGGGTGCTGTCACGGATAACTGGGAATACACTTTAGAACCTGTAAACTATAGAAAAAAATGATTTAGTGGAATATTAGTTTAATTTAATTTAGCTTTTGTGTTTGAGAAACCATTGTCAATAAACTGCTGGATGAATGTCTCTCCACGCCATGTTGGTCAGATGGGTTGATAACCATACTTCGTGCTGATCACAGGGCGGACTGGCAAAGGGGGGATTGTTCACCACTGATGTTAGCCGGAGCCAGGAATCTAACACAGGTGGCTGGGTTTGTAGCCACTGCGTCACCGCTTCACCGGTGTTTTTTTTGTGTTTTTAAAGGGAGAACATTTTAATTGTGGTACTTTATGCATCTATAGTACCACTATTATCTGAAGCCAATATCTTAATGTTAGCTTCGTCCATGTCCTAAATAAGATCTCGTAAACAATGACATCAGCCATGGGTTACCCACACGGGATTGAAAGCCACACACTCATGGTCCAATAATGCCACAAACCATCTCACTCCTGCACATAAACTGCTCTCATAAGACCATAAGCTGGATTTAGAATCAATTTTTTTCTGTCATCCATCACTTGTATTCTATCAGATTCTAGAAATAAATGAATACCAAATACTGCAGTGCCATTATGAATAGCTTTTGCAGGCTTTGAAAAGATTTTCAAGCCATCAGAACCCAGGGGATGAATATTGGGCTGAATCAGATAAATCCCACGTAGACCTGCAGGAGGGTTTGAGCTGAAAATAAATTTAAGGCTGAGTCAACCAGTACGAATGCATACTATAACAATGGAGGCATTTGTTTTATACTGTATTTACATATTGTTGTATGTAGTGGTAAAATGGTATTTACTCAAACGAACGCGGAGGCTGTGCTCTATTGATGTTTACAGCCAAAAGCCCAGTGTTGTAAATTCCACATTGCTATGGCAAGGGTCACGTACACCCACAATACCAATATTTAATTTACACTCTTTGTCACAGTGCATCAATTGATGAGCAGAATGGATATGTTTCTTCCCTCCCCCCCCAAAAAACCAGATACACAACGTAGCTCTTAAGAGTGACTGAATTTAGACTTCCGCGTAAACTCTTGTTGTTGTTGTTGTAATTAAAGTGAGGTGGCCTTCATCCAGCAGTGGATTTTTGGCACCCACCACGGCTTGAATGATGCAGCACAAATTCAGCTTCCGACGCCGATGCCAAATTCTGATTGGTCGGATGGGGGAGCGGATGCGGATGTGGCCAAGTATGGAGTGGGCGGGGCCAACAGCCACGCGGGAGGAGGAGGATGGGGAGAGGGTGGGGGGCGAGAACTACTTCCAGTGCAAAGCGGGTGGGTGTCTTCGAGAACCTTCTAGAAAAGCCCACTCTCCTCCCGCAGTCTCCCTCCGCCGACGAGAAATAACCCCCGGCTTCTTTGCGTTCCACGCGAGGGAAAAATCGCCGATTTTCGAAAACCGAAGACGCCGAAGGTACCGTCCCTTGAGCGCGAATTAAACAGCCGCGTGGGTTTGCGACGAACGCGCGTTTCTTGCGGTCCTGCTGGATCTTTGGCGGAGGGATACACGGCGGTACGCGGCCCATGAGAAGCGCGCGCGCGGCTTCGTCTCTTCCTCTGCGCTTTTCCCGCCCGCGGTGTCCACAACGCCTCTCAAGGTGAGGAGGCCCCTGACGGCGTTCGCCTTTCGCATCCAGCGACACGCTCGCTTTTGTTTTTACCGAGGACTCGACTCGTTCATTTGTGTCTTTATTCGTAACGTAATCGCGGGTTGACGTCGAATTGTTGATTTTTTTAAAATAGTTTTTTCGTCTTTGCTGTTGACGCGGCGCCGCGTGTTAGCGGCCTTGTGACGGCACGCGGTTGTGCGGCTTGACAAATGAACGAGGTAGAAATGTCGTTTAAGGATTGGGACGTTAGTTAGGTCGTGTAGATGATGTGAGCGTGTTTGTGTGTTCGACGACGCGTGTGGTTTTAATTGGGGAGTTTATGCGAGTTGGAATGCGCTCCTCGTGTGCGCGCACGTGGGGGCTCTGGTTAAATCCGTGCTTCCGCCTGTGGCACGGGATTAGCTTTTGTTTCCTCCCCACGTTAATTGACTTAAGATAAAACTCTGAATTGCAAACATCCCCCTGGTCGATTGTGTGTTGTGACAATTGACGGCACTTGCCGTTTGGTTTTGACTGAGAATTCGCAAATTGGACAACCACTGCGTCAAAATGTAATAATCAATGTGGACGTCTAAATGAATCGATCTTCTCTGCATACAATGTGTAGTTTTTTTTACAAAATGTATTTGTTAAGTCGGTGACTTTGACACCAACCTGACCCGCAGCCATCTCGGGTCCCACGCGTGGCGAAGTCGATTCGAACGAGTAAAAACGTGCGCGTGACTTCGTGGTTTTTAATTAACGTTTAATTAAGAAAAAGAGGGGTGGATATTATTTTCATTTCGGTTACGGGCCTTAAACCCGGTTGACATACTTATAGCCCAACTAAAAATAAACACATTTCAGAAATAATACCCCCGTACGTTTTTAAAGAGCCGGACAATCCGCGGAAGAGTCGCCCCGTAAAATGGATTCGACGCGAAGCGGGTCACTGTGCTAATGGTTATTATATATTTACTTTAAACGCAAGTCTTACGGGATTTTTTTCTCCCTTCATAAATGTGTATTCTTTTCTGGCGAAAGTGTCACGCCCGCCGCCGCTGTTGTCTCTAGCCCAAGGGAGGGGGGTGGGAAGAGGCCTCTGTGAACAAAGGAGCGTGAAAACGTGGTTTGGTTACAAGGGGCGTCTGCTGCAATGCGCCATTCAGCCCGCGCCCCTTGTACATTGGTGGATACAACTTGAGCAGCAGCGACTACCACTTATATGATGGCCAAACGGAGCCTTCAATCCGCAGCAAAGTGGCGTATTAATGAGTTAATGCGCATCATTTAACCACGTGTGGTGTTCGCAACAATTGGTTTGATCACACGCAACGTTTTACTGTGTGCAGTTCCATTAGTGTGAAGTCTTTTCCATGGGTATGCAGTCCGTTCAGTTAAACTAAATAATACACCGTGTAAAGTAATAGAGATGGGATTTCCTAACCGGATTATTTCCTAACTACATTATTAAAGGGGCGTTCGGACCTTACTGGGCGGGATGTAAGCCATGAAATGTGGCATCCGCGTCTTGTCAGACGCGCATGATGGTAATATGTTCGTCAGGAGGGATAATGGATTACTCGTGAAATGGGCTGGGTCTTTGGACGGCTGTTGTGTGATGCCTAAAAGGAATGAATAATCGGCTAAATGGAGGGTGGGGGGCGGCAGTGCCGTGTGGTTAAAGAGGAAGTGTGGCGCATGCTTAATGATGAGCGGCTCGATTCGTCACTTGCCTCCAAGCCGAATCAACAGGACTACGTCACACAACAACGCCCCCGTGTGTGCCACTGCAGATTTTCCCCTCCTTTATACATTACAGGAAAAATTGGTTGCTCAGCTAATTCGAGGTTTTGCAGGACGTTATTTTTGTGGTGCGTATTTCAGACGTTGAGCCAAATCGTATGGTGGGGTGAGTTGGCTGTAGAAGGTTTATGGATGCTATTATGCAACGGTGTACATGTTAGCAACTGCCTGCATGAGTAGAGGAACGGTGTTGGTGGTATATGGCAGGTAACTCCTTTTATAGCTTTTATTTTTTTTCAGGGAAATGTCCCAACATTTTGAGTACAGCCTGCTTTTTTTCCTTGGGAGAGGGAAAGCCAGCGTAACCGAAGAAACCCCACCATACATATATAAGTGCAGGTCTACACAGGATTCAATTGATGTACTAGCCATCTCATGGTTACGATATAGCTTGGTAATTTTTAGGATTTTTACAATTCTGCTTGGTCCACCATCCTTTCCAACGTGCACTGTATTACAGGCCTGCACCATCATGCCCGGATAATGATCAGTTGAATTATTTTTCCCTTGGTTTGTGTTATTGTGGGTTGTATTGTTGGGACCTGCTGGGTCAGGACACTTAAACATTTTTGATGTCACGTGATTAGAATCCCCTCCGGCACATGTCCAAATAACATCGTGTCTTTTCCCTCCCCATACAACAGATGCCTGGAGAAACAACTGGCCCGACCATGGATGAAGAGACTGAAACCTTCGCCTTCCAGGCGGAGATCGCCCAGTTGATGTCCCTCATCATTAACACCTTCTACTTCCAACAAGGAAATCTTCCTTAGGGAGCTCATCTCCAACAGCTCCGATGTGAGTTCTACCAACATTTCCTATGTTAGCTGAGGAAGCTAGAGCGATGGTACAGAGGTACACTTAAACCTTTTGGCTAGTTTTGATAGCATGAAAACGTAAATTTTAGGCCTATGCAAGTACACTACTGGAGGGCAGAATGCTATTGGGTCGTGAGTTCTGATGTTACAGACCAGTTACATTGGTAGAATTTTACCTGCAGATGTTATGACATTTGCTTGCGTTTAGTTACCATTTTAATTAGAAGGCATTCAATTGTTTTGGTGCTACAATAGGAGGCTAATTGTGCCCCATATTGTGGAGAGCTCTTGCCCTTAACCATCAAGCAACCCAGCAGCATTTAACAATCTTCGCCCAGTTGGTATTTTGGAAAATGGTCCATAAATGCCTTTTGAATTGTTTACCTACATTTTTTTGGTGGTAAATCACACTTCCCTTTCAAATTATTACATGGTTATTTTGTATTTTAATCTATTAATATGCATGTACAAGCTTTTGGATTGTTTGTGTTCCAATCCTGTGCACTGTTTTTTTTTACATGCTAGGCTCTGGATAAGATCCGCTATGAGAGTCTGACAGACCCCAGCAAAATGGACTCTGGCAAGGAGCTCAAGATCGACGTGATCCCCAACAGAAATGAGCGTACCCTCACCATCAGCGACACGGGCATCGGCATGACCAAGGCTGATCTCATCAACAACTTGGGCACCATCGCCAAGTCGGGCACCAAGGCCTTCATGGAGGCGCTGCAAGCGGGGGCCGACATCTCCATGATTGGCCAGTTCGGCGTGGGCTTCTACTCTGCCTACCTGATCGCCGAACGGGTGTCCGTCGTCACCAAACACAACGATGACGAACAGTACTTGTGGGAGTCATCCGCGGGTGGTTCCTTCACGGTGCGCCTTGACAATGGTGAGTTGTGTGTCTGTTTTTCTAATTTAATTGAATGTAAATTAAATTGCATTTTTTTGTACCGTAGCCATCCCATTGCCCCGACCATGTAAAAATGTGCGCCCCTTTCATATAACGAGATGCGACCAAGCCTACCGTGTGTTTGTAGAACTGCCCGTGTTCAGGAAAGGTGTCATGGTTTGGTTACTCGCAATACTTTAACGTCCGAGCACTCTTGTAAAAGTTTGCTTTATGCAAATTCGATGCACATTCTACCTTGAAGACAATTGAATGAGACAAAAAATGACATTCTCGAATTGAGTCATGAACGATTATACATTTTAGGCACTTGAAGAATAGCGAATTGTTACACGCCCGGCAGTGAGTGTTCCACTTGCTGGTGCAAGAATACACATGTTAATGTATTACTCTCATTACGTTGTGAACAGGTGAAAGCATTGGCAGAGGCACTAAGATCACGCTGCACCTGAAGGAGGACCAATCTGAGTACCTGGAGGAGAAGCGCGTCAAAGACATCGTGAAGAAGCACTCTCAGTTCATCGGGTATCCCATCACCCTCTTTGTAAGTGCACGCTGCTGGCAGCATGGTTGTACAATTCCTGCAGCTGAACGCTTTTCTTTATAGCCATGTGATCACAGGCAAATAGTTTACTGAATCTGTATAGTTGCCCTTGCATTTTGCACCTTCACTAATGGATGTGGTGGTACCATTGTCCAGGTCGAGAAGGAACGTGACAAGGAGGTGAGTGACGATGAGGCTGAAGAGGAGAAGGAGGAAAAGAAAGAAGAAGAAAAGGAGGCCGAGACGGAGGACGACAAGCCCAAGATTGAGGATGTTGGCTCGGACGACGAGGCCGACAAGGAGGGTGACAAGGACAAGAAGAAGAAAAAGAAGATCAAGGAGAAGTACATCGACAAGGAGGAGCTCAACAAGACCAAGCCCCTGTGGACGCGCAATCCAGACGACATCTCGCAGGAGGAGTATGGAGAATTCTACAAGAGTCTCACCAACGATTGGGAGGATCACTTGGCTGTCAAGGTATTGATTGCAGTCTGATGCTGTCACTGCTAAAAAAAGAATAAGCTTTGAGTTATTTCCAAGAGACATGAAAATGCAATTTGCATTGCTTGTAAGATTCGTGCTATGCAGGTCTTGCACCAAAAAACTGAATAAATGTTCCTTTCCTGGTCAATTGGGTATGGGCCAGGTTTACAAGCATTTGTGAGCCATTGCCGCAGTATAAACACGGCCTCTTGTAATCTAGATGTATTGTCGAGGTTGTACATCCTAGTAAAAGTTGAGTTGTTTATGGCATCTGAATTTTCTGTCCGCAGCACTTCTCCGTGGAGGGCCAGCTAGAGTTCCGGGCCCTGCTCTTCGTGCCACGCCGTGCGCCCTTCGACCTCTTTGAGAACAAGAAGAAAAAGAACAACATCAAGCTGTACGTGCGCCGTGTGTTCATCATGGACAACTGCGAAGACCTCATCCCTGAGTACCTCAGTGAGTACAACAACATCGGCAACTGCTGTGTTAAAATCAAGTTTTGGGAAGGCTACTGCTTCCAAACAGTTCTTAGAAAAAACACACGGTTTGTATATGCCATGTGATTGAATTGGATAAGCAATATACATCTTTTGGTTGTTTTCTCTAGACTTCATCAAAGGTGTGGTGGACTCGGAAGACCTCCCCCTGAACATCTCGCGAGAGATGCTCCAGCAGAGCAAGATTCTCAAGGTCATCCGCAAGAACATCGTGAAGAAGTGCATGGAGCTGTTTACAGGCCTTGCCGAAGACAAAGAAAACTACAAGAAGTTCTACGAGCAATTTTCCAAGAACATGAAGGTGGGTGATGACAATCCTCAATGAGGAATGTAAGAATGAGTTGTCACGTTTTAACTGTTGAATCGATTCTGGGTTTTGTTCGTCATAGTCTGCCTGGTTCTGTTGGTCAAAAGACATATTCGCATGTGAATTACAATAAATTATAAACATATAAAATGTGTATCTTGTGCTTAAGAATAGATTTGAATAATTTAATGTTTTTCTAACTTACATGATTTTAAGTACATAGAGTAATCATCACATGCATGAAACCAATATCTCATTTACATTCAACTTGGCAATCAACACTACTGGTGTACTGTATCCATTGAATACTGTTAATTGAAAATGAGTGGTTATTTTTGTTTCAGCTGGGAATCCATGAGGACTCTCAGAATCGCAAGCGTCTTTCCGAAATGCTGCGGTACCACACGTCGGTGACGGGCGAGGATGTGTGCTCCCTCAAGGAGTACGTGTCGCGCATGAAGGAGAACCAGAAGCACATCTACTACATCACTGGTATGTGTGCTTGACAAAATTGATCTTCAGGGCATCTGTTACCAAAAGTAAACTTTGTTGTGAAGTGTGGTTTTTCTTTCTATGGTTCAAGGAAGATGCCACTAAAAAAATAGTTAATCCTGTGTATGTGATTTTACCTAGGCTGTGTTCCGATCTTTGTGAGTGAGAAAGATGCCTTTCAATTTACAGTCTGCCTTGTCATTGCTCTGTTGACATGACTGCACATCACACAGTTCACCCCCTCGTGTGATGAATTGCAGGGTTTACATACAATTTGGACTTGTATAGCGTCTAAATGCACCTCCATACCAAGCCACTACAGGGCCGTGAACATATTTTAGTGTCATGCGCAGATGATAAAAGGTCATGAACTGGGGCAGCACAGATGGCTTTGGAAGGTAGTGTGGGGGGGGAATCATCTTCCACCAAGTGAAAGTTGACTAAGCTTTGGCAATTCCTTGGTGGCGACAGTGTGATGGGGTATATATAGGTGGAGCTGAAAGGAGAGAGGTGGGCAGGGGAGAGTCAAGGACCTTTTATAGTGATTAGTGTTTTTTTTATCCAAGATTGCATTGGGAGCCTTGTAGCAAGTGTGATGTATTGGGTTGAAGTGGCCTTGTTAAACAGGTGAGGAAGATGGTTGTATTTTGTATTATCTGGAGTTTGGGAGGGATTTGGATCGGCTGTTAAGTTCAGATATGAACAGTTGATTAGTGCACTGCACTATGTAGTTGGTCACCCGAGTTTGATTTCTGGCCATGACCAACTTTAGTGGTGTCGAGTTTAAACCAGTCATGGAAACAACCCCTTCACATCACACTGATCAACGTGGTAAAACAACTTGCATGATCAACACAACATGCGGAGGGGCCTGCATTAAGAAGTGGATTGACAAAGGGCTGTCAATATTTGTTTTATTTACTAGGTACATATGGGGGAGCAGGTGGCGCAGTGGTTGGCGCACTGTGCTATGAACCCGGCAATCTGAACTCGATTCCTGGCGACGGTTGACATCACTGTTGAGTGATATCTGAACCAGTCTTTGACCCCACCCCCTTCAACCCGCACTGACCAGCGTGGTAAACTAAAATTATAAACAACTTCCATAACCAACAAGGCATGTGGAGACCTAAATTCGACAATTTGACCAAAAGGGCTTTTAGAAAAAATGTAATCAATGTATATGTAAAGCATATACATTAATTTGTCTTGTGTATTTAATGTATGTGTTCCTGCATTTTTACAGGCGAGTCCAAAGAGCAGGTGTCGAACTCTGCCTTTGTGGAGCGCGTGCGCAAGCGGGGCCTAGAGGTGGTGTACATGACAGAGCCCATCGACGAGTACTGCGTGCAGCAGCTCAAGGAGTTTGACGGCAAAACGCTCGTCTCGGTCACCAAGGAGGGGCTGGAACTGCCTGAGGATGAGGACGAGAAGAAGAAGCAGGAAGAGGCTAAAGCGAAGTACGAAAACCTCTGCAAGGTGGTCAAGGAGATCCTGGACAAGAAGGTGGAGAAGGTGAGGTCTATCTAACTGGTGTTTAATCATACCCAACACAGGGGTTGTCTGGTCTAGGGCAGCGTTTCTCCAAGTCCAGTCTCTGCGACCCACAACTGTACCTCTTCCAAGATTATAATTTTGCTTACATTTAAAAAACTAATTAGGTGGTTACAAGTAGCCTATGCATGATTGCAATTGCAAAATCCATTTGTAATCTAGAGTTCTGACTAATTTGGGTTAGCCTCTCGGCATGTGGGGCATTTGCACACATGTATAAAATATCTTTATACATTGGTAGGGACTTTTTTTTTTTACGAATCCCTGGTCTAGGGAAATGCTAATATTTTTTTTAGGCATTTATATGTAACAATCGATATGGAGTTTGAATTTAAGAATGAACTCGAGTTGACAATGGAGACATGGTGTAGTGAAATTTTGAATATCTGACTTCCATATTTGAGTTAGCTTGTGTAAAGTCTATTGTACCCAGGCTTCATAGCACTAAAATTAATAAATTGTGAATTTCCATTTGAACTGCTTGAAGTTGTTGCTTTTGTAACTGCAAAGAGGTGGGTTCCACTTGCTGTCTCAACAATGTCTCGCAATTCATTGTTTTTAGGTGACCGTTTCCAACCGGCTGGTGTCCTCTCCATGCTGCATCGTGACCAGCACTTACGGCTGGACGGCCAACATGGAGCGAATCATGAAGGCACAGGCTCTTCGTGACTCGTCCACCATGGGCTACATGGCCGCCAAGAAGCACTTGGAGATCAACCCAGAACACCCCATCGTGGAGACGCTGCGCCAGAAGGCGGAGGCAGACAAGAACGACAAGTCTGTCAAGGACCTCATCATTCTGCTCTTCGAGACGGCGCTGCTGTCTTCGGGTTTCTCGCTCGATGACCCCCAGACGCACTCCAACCGCATCTACCGCATGATCAAGCTGGGGCTCGGTAAGTTTGTCTTAAAGTCCCCCCCCCCCCCCCCCCCCCGTTTAAAAGATGTCAGTTGACCTCTGCAGTGGTTCTAATGATATTTTGTGACGCAGGTTTGTGGATTCAAATTGAAAATGTAAAAAACTGGGAAATATAGGAGCAGCAGGTGGGCATTTGAGCCTATTGCAGCAAATCTCAAAATGTAATGTCTATTGGGCAGTTGAAAGCACATCAACCTAATAAATGATACGATGCATGCATCGATTCATATTTGGCCTTCATGCAGAGGTCGACTGATTGTTAAATATCACATTAAACTTGAAGGAAAGTGTGTATCGTTTGAAATAAGTAACATTTTTTAAATCTTACCCTTAACATTTTTAAAGCGTATTGTCTCCATACTGTTTGCTAATTTACACTCTCGAATAAAGTCAATTGCCCACATTTTTGGCATTGGTCCTTTTAAAATAGTTTAGTTAAGCAGTGTTAATTATGAGCAGGATCGGTGTTTTTGTGCTTGGACACCAGTCTATTATCATTTGTTGTTGCTGTGCGACCCCATTGCTAGTTAAGGGTCACGAACGTGCACTAACACCCTCCATGCTCTGTCGTTTTTGACTTGTGTAGGCATTGATGATGACGAACCCATCCCAGATGAGAGCACGCCAACTGTCACTGAGGAGATGCCACCACTGGAAGGAGAGGATGCTTCCCGGATGGAAGAGGTTGATTAAAAACGCCTGGTGACCAATTTTTTGGGGAGCAATAGTATACACCTTGCTTTGTTGCAGGGTTCAAATAAATGTGCACATTTAAGCGATCGTGCATCCAGAGTTCCCATACTTCGTGTTTAAAAGTTGTGTGTTCTTTGCACTGTGAAAGTTAAAATACAGGCTTCTGTCCGATGTGTTGCTTGTGCGCACGTTTCGGGTCAAACCCTCTTTGTTGGCAGTACATACAATGATCTTGGTTTTTTTGGTAACTTGAATAAAGCATTGCACCCTTCTGGGAGGCCCCCCTGATTATGCTGTTTGAGTCGTCTTTGTGCGTTCTGATAAGTTAAGGTAAAACTACACGACAATTGTGGTTTGAGATTTCACATTTTAAACTTATTTAAGCGTGGAACAATTGTCGTCGCCCTCTCACAATTGGATGACATTTAAACTGGTTATTTGATTGAAGGCTTTTGCCATTCTGAAAGGTGTGCCACTTGTCGCTATATACAGTCAAATAAAATTATTTGCAGACATTGTCAATCCACTTCTGAACGAATGCCTGGGGTTGTTTGACCATGCATATAACCACGGTGGTGGGTGAAGTGGGTTGGATTGGAGATTTGCCCAGACTTCACTGCCCACCAATGTTATCTGTGACTAGTAATTAAACTTTCATTGCTGGGTTTATAACTGCACCACTCATCCCCCTTTGCAAAGTACCACCACACCTATGCCTGCACGCATGTCATTGCATGCATCATTTTAAAGCATGGATAGCCCTACCTTGTCGCATATCCAAACCGCTTTGAATGAGGTGTACAGCCTTTGTTTTTCTAAGCTAAAGCTTTGAATAATTTGATTACAAAGTGCAGATATGGTCAATGTTGGCATCGCTGTCCTATCAGATGGGAGCACCCAGTCCCCTACCTCTAAGTTGGGTCCAGTGCTCGCTGATTCACTTTATTTGCTCACTGACGGTTGCCGATTTTCCATTGCAACTTCCACCGTTACTGCACATCTTCCAGACGGATTTTGTATGGTGTTGATGCTGCAGGTCAAAACGACTGCATGCACTGGGGAATTACTTCATCTTGTCCCAAGTTCAAGCATGCTCAATTCATACGATTACACCATTATGGTTGTTGCTGGCTGCTTTGTCTTTTAGGGTCTACTCGTTTAAAATATCCAGATGTAACCCTTTTCAATGCATAATTTGTATTGTACTGATTATAAACATTCTGAAATGCTATGGACATGCACGTGTTGACTTTAGGTATGCACACACCTTTAAAAAAATCCTATACTTATACAATTAAAATGTGCAAATTAATCAGTTTTACAAAATGGAGTGTAGCAGTTCAAAGTATTAAATGCATTTTGGCATGTTTAAATGAATGCTCGCACGAGGTCAAAATATATACTTGGGAAGCGGATTTTTACACCGTTTATTTCGCTGTGTGCTGGGTTGTGCGAGTGGGTGCACAAATATCAGAAGCACCAAGTGATGTCTTGCAAGCACTTCCCTTTAAACCACCAGGCCATGAGCTGGTTGTGTTCAGATAGTCTTGCCTCTTGTAGGGGGTCCCATCCACGCTGGTCCTGTGGGAATGTTGTGTACGGGTGAAGGCAGAACATTACCAATTACATCCAATGTTCTCTTATGCTGTCCTTAAGATCGGAAAATTACCTTGTTCGGGATGTTAAATAGACCCATTGTGTTTGATGCGACTTGGCTTTTAACAGTATTGCCACCTTGCACGAGAAGGGTCCCTTTGGTGAACTTGTAACTCTACAAAGTACCTTTTTAAGATTGATGGGGGGGGGGGGTAAAGGATAGTAATTAGATGATGGCATCAGATCTCACAAGCGAAGCAGGGTTGAGATGTAAATGGTGCATTGTCTGATCCTGGTTTTAAACCTGCACTGACCAACGTGGTCAGACAACTTGCAGTCGGAAAGTCCAACCCCATCCAGCAAGTCTGTTGACAAAGGGCTGCACTTTTGTATTTAAGTAAAGTGACTGCCCTGAATAGGTTTTGGCACCGTGGTGGTGAGATTTTAACGAACTTGCCTGGTATGCAGGAGGTTGTGGGTTCGATCCCAACCTGAACCCTGTATACTTGGAGTTTGCATGCTTTCCCCGTGGTCATGTGGCCTTTTCTCTGGGTACTCCGGGTTTTCCCTCATTTAAAAGCAAGCGTTTAGAGTTTTACTGCTGTCACTTTCCACAATAAGCCGCTTCGTTGAGCTTTCATTTGTGGCCGGGTCGTTTATGAAAAAACGGCTACATAGCCTAGTGGGCCTTACCTGGTAAAATAAAAATAGTTTAGAAAAAACATGCAACTATATATTGTCTTGTCGATGGGTTCAGATCGTGTAACTTGACACTTCGGGAGGATCCCGAATTGCAATTTTTGGTCAATTCAGTTCGGGAGCTGGAACAAAACATGAATGTTTTGTAGTCTGCTGATTACAATGAAGCCGTTAATTGTCCTTATTTACAGAAGTACCCTTTTTTCAGAAGAATGTACAGTATCAGTTTTGGATGTAGCCCATGGCTGAACAGCAGGGAAATCGATGAGATGGGCAGTGGTGCACCGAGGTCATTATGTTCAGTCAAAATAATTCGACACGTGACGGGGAGAGAGTTGTTTTCCACTCGGGCAGTTTCACAAGCTACTCGGCCTGACAGTAAACATTACAAAATCATCTCAACACATGGGATGTCGTTCTGAAGGTAATCACAGTTTTAAAATGGTCTGATAGTTTAAGAAAACAACTTTGGGTAAAGTTATTGGCTTGGCATAGACAGAACTGAATGCACAATGACCACTATCTCAGTGTCGATGAAAAAGTTTGTCAGAATACGTTCAACACCGGTCATTTTATGAACAAGGTTGACAGTTTTATCTGAATGTCTTAACTGGTTGACATACTAAGTCCACAATACAGATTTTTTGTGTAAGGTTTGTCACGTAAACACAACATGCCAATTCGTCACTTGTACAGCACACCGGTGTGTTGAAGAGCCAAGCCACAACATTTACAATCTGAGTACGACGTTTCGCCAGTAGTTATAATCCCATGTCCATCATAACGTCCTTTTTACTTCGATGTCTCAACAGCGTTACGGAGATCACGTGACGTGATGGTTCTGCCTTTGTAGTGAGGGTTGTAAGTTGATGCCGAGGAGGAGGGAGGAGGCGCCTCGGCCCCCCATGTGGAGTGACGTCACCCACTAATTAATATTAATGGCGGGGTCCATTTGGAGGACGTCACCTTATAATAATTACTAATGAGGGGGGCTGTTCGATGTTGAGTGACGCCGCCTGCTCATGATTATTAATGAGGGGGGCTGGTCGACGTGGAGTGACGTCACGAGCGTTGCACACAGACGTTCTTGGCTCGGGTAATAATGGGGGGGGGTCCATTTGGAGGGCGTCACCTGCTCATGATTATTAATGAGGGGGGCTGTTCGATGTGGAGTGACGTCACTTGCACATGATTATTAGTGAGAGGGGGGGGAGTACTCCATATTGAGTGACGTCACCCGCTCATGATTATTAATGTAGTGGGGGGGGGTGTCCATTTGGAGGACGTCACCTCATGAATATTAATGAGGGGGCTGGTCGATGTGGAGGCACGTCACGAGCGTTAAGGACAGACATTCCTGAGTGATTATAGTCGGTGTGGGCTTTGTCGGGTGGTGGTGGGTTTAACGACACATTTATATATTTACGCGATCTAACCCAAAAACAAAACTATTATGGATGATATTGGTAGCGAAAGCCACTTCATAATGATACACTAACGAATAACCATATCTTGAGAGTGTGTAAGGGGCCGTCCATAAATGACGTCACGCACCTAGGGGGGGGGGTCAGACATTTGTGACGATGTGCAACTTTAAATAAATATAGACAACACATTCTACTTAATTAATTAGACTTTTAAATAAATGTTTTCTCCTACAACATCAGATTGCAGCGCCACATTAAATACGCACTACAATGACAGAGTTTAAAGCGATTTAAAGCATGTTTTATTTTGGGGGGGGGGGGTAGAGCTTTGTGACGTCATATTTGAGGGGGGAGGGGAGTCTGACTTTTTGTGACGCAGTGTAACAAAGTGGGGGGGGGGGTCTAAAATCGTCCAAAATCGCGTGAAGTCATTTATGGACGGCCCCTAAAATGTGCATCTGAATTGATGGCGCTGCTCTCGATGTGAGCAGACGCCCGCGTGTGTGACTGCGTGGTCACCGTGGCAGGTGGGACGACCCTGCGAGCGCTCCACCTCCGCGTGTGCTCCAGGTGAGCGTCCTTGAGAGCGGAGCGCCAGGCCGCGCTGAGACAAGACTCGCACAGCTGGCACTGCCACCACAGGATGCAGAGGGGGGTGGGGGGAACGCAGGAGGAAACAGGTCACGGGATAACCTCGTAGTTTATTGCTTATTACACGCTTTTTTTTATTAACTCACTCTGTTGTTGTATCCTCAAATCTTGTAACTCAATTTGGTACAAAACATCCGACATCGTATTGAATGACACGTGGTACAACCCAAAGAGAAAAAAACACATCAGAGCTATACTTCCATGAGATGTTGAGCTTTAAAGATCCAGGTTGAACATCTGTGCTTGGCGAGTGTACAATGTGTGAATTCAGGGGTGGGTTCCCCTGATATACGCGTTTCTTTACAAACCCTGTTATTTTTTGTGACACTTTGTTCACGTTTATAGCTAGTGTCACATTGCTCTTGTAAGACAAGAAAAGCACCGTTGAAACCACCGAAAATCACAATTCTTATCTGGAATTCAGTGGTTACTGTTCATAGAGCACTCATCTGGGACTGCCCGGCATGTCGGCACGTGACAATTATGTGCAGCTTTAGAGACACAGCAAACAACTCGGGGAGTTATTTTGCATGCTGTACAATTTTGAGATGCAGGAAGTAAATTTTTCGATTTCTCAAAATAGTTCCATCATATGGAAGACACTGCCACTCCTTTTGACCACGTGGTTGGGATGAATATCCTCAAAGAGTTATTCTACTGGCTCAATTCATGAGCAATTTAAATTGAGTTTATTAAAAACAAACTTGGTAATTGCAATATAATTACAATTTAATACGTGTTTTGTTGTTACCAATGATGATTTAGACCCTACTCTTTTTAAAAAAGCAGGCCACGTTTTACTGTTATTAACCTGGAAAGTCTGCTTTACAAACAATCATTTTGTGGCATATCCAGGTTATATTTTGGTCACCTGTTAGTAGCTGCCAACGATGGTGTAGCAACTACAATTTCATTTAATAAAATATAGAGAGAGTGGGTTTAAACTTTTGAAGCCAAAACATTGCTTCGTATTATCAGTTGATTTTAAATCTATATTCACAAATGCCCCATGATTCCTGGTCGCTGTGTGCTCGGCTTTCACGAGCGGGGGTCGTGCAAAGTACTTGACAGTGTTGGACAAAAGCACAATGAGAGTTGGGCGTAAGAACAAGTGGCTTGGCCATGACGCGTACGCACTTTGTGCTCGCATGAGTCCCGGCAGTGGTGCAGACAGAGCTCGGGGTGCGTCTGTATGTCACGATCGCTCACCTGCATGGCCAGACTGCAAAGTGGAGAGGGCCCAGTCAGTGCTCGCCTGTTAATGACCATTCAACTCGTTAAATCACGGTTCTTCAATCGTATATTTTCAGCAGGACACACGTGACGTCATATGTCACGTGTTTATTTAACTCCCCCTACCCCCCTCCCTTGCCCCTCCCCCTCTCTTACCTATGTAATGCGGGCGTAAATGGGCGGGGCGGATATGACGATCCGAGAGGGAGGAGTCAGGGTGACGTGGGGGAGAAGTTATAGCGGGGAGACAGGAAGCTATCTGGGTCAGTCGGGGGAGTGAAGGGTGGTGAACACGTTGGGTGGTCGCCGTGCCTCAGCCTGGTGGCTGAGGGGCTCATGACGGCGCCAGCCAGCGGGGTGGAAGAGAGAGTGGAGGATTGAGGTAGGAAATGGCGAGATAGCCATAGAGGCCACGAAGGGCTGACATTGGGAGGTGGCGAGATCGCCACGCACGGAGGAACAGGGAGCAGAGATGGAGCTGCTGGGGGAGCAGCCAGAGGGCTGTACCAAGAGCCTGCAGCGGAGCTGCAGGAGCGTGGAAGGCTACGGGAGCGAAGGCAGATGTGGGGCTGCCAGGGAGAGAGTCTCAGGAGGAGTGCCGTGTGGGAAGGAGAACGCGAACCCCAAATAAAGGACACGGAGTCAGCAAGAAGTGTTCGAGTCCTTTTATTACACTGGAGTCAGAAGTGAAACGGCATCTCAAAACAACTGAGAGAAAGAAGAAAAAAAAATATTCCTGCTACATCATCCGACGACGACGACCTTCCTCAGACAGTGGACCTGCCTGCGATGGAAGAGGAGATCCGTTCTGGAACGAGTACGGGTCCGGGTGAGCAAGGTGTCGCCGCGTCGGTGGACCTGTCTGTGCCGAAGGATGCCAACTTACGATGGAGACAGATGGTGATGCAGATGGGGACCTTGAAAATCGTGCTGGCGCGACTGTGTGAGTTCACCACGCCGAGGACGACGTCGAGGAGGCCCGGTGGTGATCCGCAGGCCTCTGCCTTTCCTGCGCTGCCAGCGCCATTGCCACGTGGCACGAAGACGCCATCTTGGGCGTGGCAGGGGAGAAACGGCGGGAAGCCGCCATCTTGTCTTCACCGCGGCGGGAGGACGCCGCCATCTTCAACATCGCGGCGGAGAGGCAGCCTTGCGCTGCCATCTGGAGGTGCCGCGGGGTGAGAGCCTGCTGTGAGCTGCTGTTTTTCGAGGGGGTGCTGCGAGGAGAAGACGCCGATGCTGCAGCTGCTGGGGCGGGAGCTTCCCGTCCTGGCTCGGGTGCGTGACAACGGAGCCGTCAAGTCGCCGAACGAGTTCTGCGAGGCGTCTCAAGTTGCCACCCTGCCGTCCTCTTCTTGCTGCAGCCCCGGGCGAGTCATAACGATACGCACCCGGCCTTAACACACACCTCACTCATCTTTCGAGGGCCGGGGGGCTATTTTGGTTTTCTCTTATGACTCGATTGTGCGGAGCGCGGTTCGGACTGTGTGTATGTGTGTGTAATAACGATGAACGCGCTATCTGCTTGTTGCTTGGTGTCAATATAAGTGTGTGCGTGTGTTGAGAATGGACGGAGAGTCTGCTGTATTTGCTGAGTGTCAAATTGTGTGTGTGCGCTGCTGCGTGGAGTTGTTATCTTAATGGTGAAGTTAATTATTAACTTGGGAGCGTCGGGTATCTTGCGCTGTATTATTTGTGGGTTACCTTGTGCGATGGGCTTAATTGGGAAAAAAATAACATATATTTTTTTGGTGTATTGTGCTGCGAGGTGCTGTGTGCGATGCGATTGTTGCAAGAGAGAGAATAATTGTGTTGTTGCTGCAAAGTTACGACAGGATTAATGGTGTGTTGGTTGCCTGCAGATCTGCTTGCTATTGTGCTTAAATGTGCGCGTGTGATCGCGATATGCTGATTGCATGTGCTGTTATACCGTTCTGTATGGTTATGGGGTGCGATGCAGTGGTTGATTATTGGAATTGGGATTGTTATTATATTGTGCGTACCTGTTGGAAATTGGTAACAAATTCGAGGGGGACCCAAATAATTGGTTGTATGGTTGTTGTGCACACGAGATTGCGTGTATATTATAGAGGGGGACCCTAAAATTCGGTTGTATTGGTGTTGTGCACACGAGATTGCGTGTATATTATAGAGGGGGACCCTAAAATTCGGTTGTATTGGTGTTGTGCACACGAGATTTCGTGTATATTATGGGTAATTGCGCTTTTTGAGAGAGAGAGCGCGCTTTGAGGGTGCGTGATGACGCCGTTGTGGGTGTCTCAAAGGTTAATGCTAATGGGACCGTAAATTGGCGCCAAGTGGCGTCGCGTATTCGGTTGATCGCATGCAGCCACGAGTTGCTTGGCGAGTTGGGTTGTGTAACTAATGTGGTTGGTAAAATATTGGTTAAAAATTCCACGATATGACAGCTGTGCGCAGCAAGCTGGGGCTGTGCGTCTATCGTTGGTGGGGTTGTTATAATGTGACGGGAGATGCGTCTTGTGACCCCCAGCTAAGGGAAGCTGGGGTGCACGAATGGAGAAAACTGGCCACGTGTTCGCACGTTGGGCCGCCATTTTGCGCGCACGCGGGGTATGGCGACGATGCGCTTTGCGGAAAGGGCCGCCATTTTGAGTGCGCGCGAGATATTGCGCGAACGCGCTGGGCGAAGGGGGACGCCATTTTGAGCGCGCGGGAAAAACCGGGGTGGGGCAAATATTCCATCTGTTATGCCTGCCATTGTTGATTGGGTGATGCACGAGTTGTGGTCACATCGGGCTATGGCTGATGGCTGACCTGACAGCCCGGAGGCGAAACCTCCGTGGTATGTCTTAAACTAATGGGCCATGTGCTCATATGGCTCGGGGAGTCATGGTTCAGTTGTGCGGTGGCAGACTGAACCTGGTGTGCCGGGGGCTCACGGGATCTGGGTTAGGGTGTTATTGTCTCTATAAGAGAACATTGCCCCGTGGGGGGAGTACAGGGGGTCTGGCATTGCTGGGGGATGAACCTTCCCTGGGCTATAAAGCATCGGACTATACGAGGCTGGTGTGTGTCCATCTCTGATGGGATAGTAAGGGAGGAGCGTGGCCGAGTTGCTGCTCATCCCCGAAATTGCACTAGCTGAGAGTATGGTCAGTGGATGTTGCTGTGGGTTGACGACCACGGTGGGGGTTAGGGCGAGTTAAACATTACCGCTGGGGAGCGTGGCTCTCTCCACGCGAGGGTGTGCGATTAGGTGTTTTGTTGGGTTGCTGAGAGTGACCGTGGGTACATGCTGTGTATGTGCGATGTCTGTGCTGGTCCTCAAGGGAGGACTGCTGGTGGGTAAGAGCAGGAAATTTTGTTGTTGTTGTTGTCACGTGTAAATAATATTGTTGTTCAAATGTAAATACTGGGGCATCCATTGCGTCATTTTGGGTATTTATGGGGAGTTTTTTTAAGCGGGCTGGATTTACATCATCTCCACTACCCTGAGGCCGGGTGGCTGTCGTGTACGACATGCGGATGTGCGTTGTTGTGCTGTGCCTCAGGGGATTGGATTCTCCTTCTCGTCACAGATTCTTCAGCTCCCGTCGCACTGGGTGTTACCTGGTGTGCTAGCTGGATGAGGACTTGAAGGAGCAATTGAGCGCCGTTCGTCATTCTGCTCTACCACTTGCTCTTTGACGTTGGACTTGAGCCGAGCGGATGGAACTGCAACATGGACACGCACTAAAACATCACATTCTGGGTTGTGCGCGTTGGCCGTTCTTGCGTGTCAGTTGCCGTTGTTGTTCATTGTGCCATTCTTATTCTTGTTGTTGTTGCGCGGAGGACAGGCCGGTGTTCTGTTCCAGTTCCTGATACCTCCCCTTTCGTTGCTTGTGTTGTTGTTGTTATAATCTCCGTTGTGTCTGGGGGACTCCTGATTGTGATGCCTTCGCCCGCATTATTTTGTTCTGTTTCAGCCGAGGACGGCTGGGATTTTCTCTACGGGGGAGGGTAGTGTAATGCGGGCGTAAATGGGCGGGGCGGATATGACGATCCGAGAGGGAGGAGTCAGGGTGACGTGGGGGAGAAGTTATAGCGGGGAGACAGGAAGCTATCTGGGTCAGTCGGGGGAGTGAAGGGTGGTGAACACGTTGGGTGGTCGCCGTGCCTCAGCCTGGTGGCTGAGGGGCTCATGACGGCGCCAGCCAGCGGGGTGGAAGAGAGAGTGGAGGATTGAGGTAGGAAATGGCGAGATAGCCATAGAGGCCACGAAGGGCTGACATTGGGAGGTGGCGAGATCGCCACGCACGGAGGAACAGGGAGCAGAGATGGAGCTGCTGGGGGAGCAGCCAGAGGGCTGTACCAAGAGCCTGCAGCGGAGCTGCAGGAGCGTGGAAGGCTACGGGAGCGAAGGCAGATGTGGGGCTGCCAGGGAGAGAGTCTCAGGAGGAGTGCCGTGTGGGAAGGAGAACGCGAACCCCAAATAAAGGACACGGAGTCAGCAAGAAGTGTTCGAGTCCTTTTATTACACCTATATAATCTCTTATCTCGGCATCTCTCTCCCACTTCAGCAAAAAAATGTTCTTGCTGTGGTTTTCCCACCTGATGATGATTGCTTGTGTTGCAATCGAAACGTCGTGATTTAATGTATTTTATTTTATACCTACGTGACTTTACCGAACTAACCAAAGAGTATAGTTGGAATTTTTTTGATATTTACGAAAATATATAGATTTCCTCGACTTAATATTTCACTAAATTGTGAACCTAAGTTTAGATCAATTGGGAGATAAGTTGCCACCTCTGCCAATACCCGAAGAAGTTGGATTTGTAATTTTAATTCTGATGAAAAACAGTAGACATTTGCGGTTTAACATCCATCCCTTGGCAGTAGCGCCAGAATGTTGTTACTTTAACTAAAGATGTACTGCAAATGTACTACAGGTGTGCTGAACTTACCTGTGTGTGTCACCTTGGATGACGCTGCTGGCTACCCCCACCAGCTGTAGTGTGCTGAACAGAACCTGTGTGTGATCCATGGAGGCATAGGCTGATGCTTATAAACTTCACATTCTTTTAAAACATGATTTTATCTTTTATCCCAATTGGGCTCATGGTGTCATGTCAGAGACGAAGTATCCATCCGCATGAAACCACGACATGCAACATACATAAATGATAAATAATCGTTTCTCGCACGCGTGATTTACCTTGTATCGCTAGCATAATACATTTCAAATAATTATTGAAAGCAATGCATCATTACGTGGCTAATGATGAAACTTCAAAACCCTGTCGGGCTAAACTCCTCACTTGAGGTGTGACTATTAAAGGTGGTGGCGGGCCGCTAAGGAGGCAGGTGATGCAGTTCTCTTCCTCACCCACCTGCTCGTAGAGGAGTCTGTTCGGTGGGAAGTGTCGAGAGGAGAGGTTAGGAGACATGTTGACCTGCATACACGTGACACGTGCACTCTCGTCAGTTCAGGGTTTTTTGGATTTGGGGTAAATGTGTGCGAGCGCACACGGGGACGTTAAGCCGCGTGTGCGTACGCACGAGGTCCTCACCTCCATCAGATGAATGTTCAAGTCCTCGTCGAGCAGGAAGTCAAACCGGACCAACTCAAAGAACTTCCTGTAGCAGGGAGAGAGAGATGCAGGGCCGTGTGGGCTCAAATTCCAATCAAACACATAGTCATCGCCAGCAATCATTTGATGCGCTTTGGGCGTCGGTGAGTGTGGTGCTGGGAAGTCATTGGTGGTGGAGCGTGTGATGAGCGTTTAGAGAGTGAAGCCTATCCAAAGGAGGGTCAAAAGATGAATTTGCTACCCCCCACCAATGTTTTGTGAGTCATATACCATGACTTTGTATTACAGTATGCGTCCAAGAAAATGTTTCGCTGGGTGTGTCACTTGGAGAGAGTCAGACACTTTGTAGAGAGTGATCAGTGGCAGTGTTACAAGTGGCGGAAAGATTGACTTGTGGTTGAAAGAGTGACATGTGGAATAAAAAAGAACGATGAGTGGTAGAGAGAGTGTCCAGTGATAGTTTGATGAGTGGTACATCGCTTGCCGAGTGATATATAGAGAGAGAGACGGGCAGCATAAAGTGACGAGTCATACAGAGGCCTTACCAGTGTGAGGCATGTCCCTGCAGCGATGCATTGAGCTGAGGCTCCTTGACCAATAGGAGGTCAGCAATCGCCTTCTTGATGTCATCCCACAGCCGTTCGGGGGCCATGCCTGCAGCAGGGAGAGCAGTGGAGGAGAGGCAGCTTTGTGCAATTAGCAAATCTTTAACACTTCGTGCAAATGTTAATATCTCCCAATTGTGAGATAATCGGCGTCATGTCGTGAAAATGAATGCATTGTCATTTGGAACTCTGCAGTGAGCAGCGCATCACACTGCATCAGAGAATGGCCCCTGAATATGATGTCACGAAACTGTTGCTGCAGTCGCTGCAATGGGCATCTTTATCCACACTTCGATGGTAGACCTTTTAATCTTCTACAAGAGCGGTAAAAAAACAACAGTGAAACGCCTTCAGGTAATGTGCGTTTTTGTGTGTGCACGGTTCTCTCTCTCTCTCTCTCGTGTGCGTATGTTGTATTATGCGTGTGCTCGTACTTAGCGCGTGTGTGCATCCACGTCTATGTCGATCAGTGTCTGTGTGTCGCGCGGGCGGAGGGGTGATGGGTGTGACCCCCTCCCTGCCGCACCTTGAGACCCAGAAAATCGGGATTTTATTGACATTTACCAAATTAAACAATATTTTTTTTTAAATGTAAGAGCTCTGGCGTCACTGTGTGTCTGCGGTAGTGTGCAAGTGTCACGATCTTTGTCAATGTGTACTGTGTCTGTCCTGCGGTGGTGTAGCGGTTAGCGCTACGCTGCGCTGCGCAACTAACCCGGCGACCCGACTTCGATTCCCGCTCACGGCCAACACCAGTGACGAATTATCTGAACCTGGTCCCGGGGCCTCCCCTAGGTCGACTCAGCCTCAAATGAGTACCTGTTGCGTAAATCATTGCCACTGGGGAGACAAAGGCTGCCGGCCGTGGTGCTGGCCACCCACCCCCTCTTGCGCCATGGCGGCCTTCATAGGTGCTCGCTAACAGCGTTTGCCCATACAGTCTGTTAAGGCTATACGGGGGATCTTTGTATCTGTCGTGCACTCTTCGATGTGACCCAGTGCGGCCCCACCTAGCGAGCGCAGGTGAGCGGCCAGCGTCTGCTTGTGGCTGTACTTGTGGTCCACATACGCGCGCTTCAGGGATGGCATCTCTTCCGCAAATCCCCAGAAGAACGAGAACATACAGAGTGACAAACTAAACATAGGGTGCACGTGTGGTGATGTACAAGATGTTTTTTTTTCATTGGCTCAATCCCGCTTAGCTTACAAGATCTGATGAGATGGGTCCGCGTAGCCATCGTGCTTGGGTGGGTGACCACATTACATCAAATAGGCTGAGCAGCACGGGGCAATGCAGCAAAATCCATTGTTGTACTGTATTCTACTCAGTTTAACACGGAGGCTTTCGCGACGAATATCATCCATGATACAGGGCTTTCTTGGGTTAGATCGCGTAAATATACGGGGGATCTAATGCGATATAACCCCAAAAAACCTCTTATGTATACTCTTTGGTTCTTTCGGTAAAGTCACATAGGTCGAAACAATTATAGATCACGACGTTTCGGCGATCGAAACGGCGTGATCTAGTATTTGTATCTACTACGTGACTTTACCGAAATAACCAAAGAGTATGGATTCCTGCAGTCACGAAAGCTTCAAATCTCTACTCGACTTGTGTGCATCTGCATTTCTGCTGCACGCCTTCACCAACAGACAGTGACCAGAATGTTGATGTCTGCTCAAATAATCCCCAACAACGCGCACGGCGTGAAAATAACTTTGTCCTGCAGTGGATTGATCAGTGCATGCCGGCGAATAAAAATGATGATGATGACGAATTTTAGTGCGTGGTGCCGGTGGCAAGAATAAGAAGCATCTCACCTCCCACGTTGGGGTGTAGTCGTCACCCACCACATACGAGAGCACATCCCTGGGGTCAAAGGGTAGGTAATTCTTGCTGCAGAACCTGACGGTGAAAACAAGAAGTACGGGAAAAGCATAGATGTGATGGAAAGCTACGGGTTCTTTATGGTCGGCTACATTTAGAAATCGTCACCGCCGTCTGGATCCTGCTTGCTATTTGCCAAACGAAGCCGGTGAATGCTGGCCCTGGTTACAGTTTGGCACACGTGCATATAAAACGATGCAGGCTTTGCTTAATAACAGCCAAATGTTCATGACATTCACAGGAATGAAAATTTGAAATGTTGCATCGGTTAAATGAATAGCAGGTAACTGGGGAGGATAAAAATTAACCCGTATAAACAAAGTTTTTCACTATAAATCCTTTATAAGCGTGGCATCGGTTTAATTTTATTATTCATTTCTGTTTTTCTTGAGTAAGAGTTTCATTTTTATCACATTGGTATTTTAAATTAAATATGAAAAAAAGGTTCCTAAAAAGTGGAAAATTTAGGAAATTTTTTTTCACGAAAATAAATTGTCACGCACAACGAGTCTGTGTGCAAAATGTCAGCTCGATTGGATCACGGGAAGTGGGTTAAAAAACGACCCAAAGATTTGCACGGTCATAAGCGTGCAAGCAAGCAAGTTAACTTAATATAAAGGATTTAAAAAGTGAGACACGAGTTGTCATGCCTTGTGCAGGCAGTGGCGGCTTGGTGTTAGGGACCGGTGGGGCTGGGCCTCCACACGTGAAATAAGTATAACCCGTAAAAACAAAGTTTTTCACTCTAAATCCTTTATATGCGTGGCGGCTAGAGTCCTCTCGTCATCTGGCTTGAGATGGCTGCCACCTATGGGTCAGATGATTGTCTGCAGTATTAAACAATTGGTAATTAAATATTTAATTTGTTTTCCCTAAACAGTGTAAAATTTTGGAAAAAAAATTTCACGACCATTAATTGTCTCGCACAACGAGTCTGTGTGCAAAATGTCAGCTTGATTGGATCACGGGAAGTCGGGTTAAAAAACTACCGAAAGATTTGCACGGTCGTAAGCAAGCAAGCAAGCAAGCGAACTTAATATAAAGGATTTAAAAAGAAAATCCCCTTACCGACAGTTAGCTGTGCTCGGGTTTCTATACTAATGGTACAAACACTCACCTACCTTACTATTTGGTTCTTTTGGTAAAGTCACGTGGGTATTAAATAAATTACGACGTTTCGGGCGCAACACAAGCGTCCGGCATGTCTCCCCAGTGGCACCTGATGACGGACGCTTGTGTTGCGCCCGAAACGTCGTCATTTATTTTATACCCACGTGACTTTACCGAAAGAACCAAAGGGTATGGATACCTGCAGTCACGAAAGCTTCAAATGAAGATTATTCACCCACCTGCTTCGTACACCCCTCCCCCCAGTCCCCTTCCCCCCACCTTCCCCCGCCACCTTGATCCGCCCCCACCACCTTCCTCCCGCCTTACCTCCCGCCATCTTCACCCGCCCCCACCACCTTCCTCCCGCCACCTTCACCCGCCCCCACAAGCTTCCGTGTCCCACCAATGTATCTACCCCCTCGCCACCGCCGCCTACAGGCACCGAGTATGAACTTAGCAGGTGGGCGCCTACCGCATGTCCCATTTCTGCGCGACCCACCAACCCCGCTGTAGTGGAGCGGTGAGCGCGTTGCACTACGAACCTGGCGACGCGAGTTCGATTCCCGCTCATGGCCAACATCTATGACGATTATCTGAACCGGTCCTGGGCTTCCCCTAGCTCGACTCAGCCTCAAATGAGTACCTGGTGCGGTGCGTAAACATCGCCACTCGGGAGACAAAGGCGGTTGGGCGTGGTTGCTGGCCACCCACGCTCTCGTGTGCCGTGCCGGTCTTTATAGGTACTCCTAACAGCACTTGCCCCAAAAGTCTGTTTAAGGCAAATATGGGAACTTTGTCTTTGTAGCAAACGTAACAAATGTGTCAGTGCGCAGCATAACACGTGCGGAACGGAGGGAACGCGAGGGATTTATAAGAGGGCACGGGTTTGAAGAGGAAGGTTCCTGACGAGAGACTTGAATGCAAAGAGAAGTGTGGGCCAGGCGAATTTGTCCGGGGAGGTAGTTCCAGAGGCTGGGATCACAGTTGCTAAATACATAAATAAATAGGTTTTTTCGGTAAAGTCACGTAGGTAAAACATTAAAATTAATAAAAGTAAAATAAAATAAAAATCACGACGTTTCGGAGGCAACACAAGCTTCCGTCTTCAGGTGGAACCAGCTGTCGTGGCTGTGACGGTTCCACCTGAAGACGGAAGCTTGTGTTGCCTCCGAAACGTCGTGATTTTTATTTTATTTTACTTTTATTAATTTTAATGTTTTACCTACGTGACTTTACCGAAAAAACCTAAGAATATGATTCCTTGCAGTCACGAAAGCTTCAAATCTAGAATTAATAAATAGGTCACAGTCCGTGAAGCTGAAGGAGTGTGTCTCTCTCTGCTTGTGTGTCTGTCTCCGGGTCTCTGTTTTGTCTCTCTCTAAAATGTAGCAATCTTTGGAAGAACGTAATCAACCAGGTGGGGTGTTGACTGTTGTGTTAGCCGGCACTTTGTGTGGCATTGCATTACATTTTTAAGTTTACTATGTTTGGTTTTCTAATTCATTCTTACCTGATGCCGATTGCTTGTGTTGCAATCGAAACGTCGTATTCTATTATTACATTGTATTTTCTACGTGGCTTTACCGAAAGAACCAAAGAGTAATTACGGCAGTCACGAAAGCTTCGAACCTAGTCTGCAGAAGGTTGTTTTAGAGATAAGCATGGGCAAGGCCGGAGATGGCTTTGAACGCGAGTTGATATTCAGCGTGCTCCGACCTCAGGAGCACCTCCTCGTCGTACGCGTACACCCGCAGGGGCTGCACGGACGTCACCACCACGTAAATTCCCACGTCGAACTTCCTGCACTCAGCACGAAAAACATCGCAATCACAGCGTCGCCAATCAACGGGAGGTCGCTCCGTTCTTCCGCCACTGCAGCGGACGTTGCCTGGAACATCTTCCTCCCCGTGGCCATCCGCACTGCCAACTCCACCCCGTGGTCAACTTCAAGGCTCCGGTCACCTCCGATGAGCACGGTTGGCTACGTACGGTGCGGAAGATATCCAACATGCACACGTACCTAAAACAAAATCGCCCTGAATGCGGTACAGCAGTAGGTTCGTGAAAATATCCGTGCGAAACTTTGAGTGTTGCCCTCTCATATGTCTGGGTTCCTTCTGGGTGCTCCCGCTGCGCCACTATGCTGCCTTCTCGCCTCCCAATGCTCATTGTTGTGAGCGTCTCTTTGTCGCTTCCAATTTGCGAGTCAGTGCCCAGCGGCCCACTGGCGTTTTTCCCAAGTCCCCCTCCACAAGTGTTTGAACACACGTGCGTGTGTGTGCGCACACAGACACACGCACGGTGCTGACCTTCCGTCAATGAGCAGTGGTCGCTGAACGAACTCTTGCACGAAGACGTCTGCTCCCAGACGCTCCACGTCTACGCGGAACGCGAGAGAGGTGACAGTGAAAGGGAGTAGCAAGAGCGTCTGCGACGAGACCAGTTCCATCTTCCACGGCAGGGCCGTTGGTACGAGAAACAAAGCATGTGTTTTTTTGCAAGCCTGGCTGATCAAAGTCTACAAAAACTATATACATTTCAACAAAAACTATAAACAATTTTTCGTTATTTTACCAGGTAAAGTCCACTGAGCTATATAGCTCTTTTTAAATCCTTTATATTAAGTTCGCGTGCTTGCTTGCTTGCTTAGGACCGTGCAAATCTTTCGGTCGTTTTTTAACCCACTTCCCGTGATCCAATCGAGCTGACATTTTCCACACAGACTCGTTGTGCCAGACAATTATGGTTCGTGAAAAAAAATTCCCAAAATTTTACACTTTTTAGGCAAAAAAAAATATTTTACATATATTCAAATAGAACGCATTCATGGCTTTGGCTGAACATCACAGTGCAAGAGCCCAGAGCGTAACCCCTCCACAGGCCGTGGTGGAGTAGCGCAGTTAGTAGCGCCCTCGCTTCCCATGCCAAAGGTCGCGGGATCGATCCCCGCGTCCTCCACAGGCGAATCTATTTTTAAATCCTTTATAATTAAGTTCGCTTGCTTGCTTAGGACCGTGCAAATCTTTCGCTCGTTTTTTAACCCACTTCCCGTGATCCAATCGAGCTGACATTTTCCACACAGACTCGTGTGTGACAATTAATTTTCGTGAATTTTTTTTTCCAAAATTTTACACTGTTTAGGGAAAACTAATTAAATATTTAATTACCAATTGCTTAATACTGGCAGACAATCATATGACCCATAGATTGCAGCCATCTCAAGCCAGAAGACGAGAGAACTCTAGCCGCCACGCATATAAAGGATTTATAGTGAAAAACTTTGTTTTTACGGGTTATACTTATTCAGAAGTGATCTTGGCCACAAATGATAACGATGTGGCTAATCATGCGGACATTTATAACAGCCAAATAGTCTAAGGGGCCGTCCATAAATGACGCCACGCACCTGGGGGGGGGGGGGGCAGACATTTGTGACGATGTGTGACGAGGGGGGGGGGGTTGAGAAATGTGACGTCACATCAAAATTGTAACAACACCAATTGTTATAACAACACTCCTACAACATCAGAGTGCAGCGCCACATTAAATACGCACTAAAATGACAGTAGTTTAAAGCGACTCAAAGCATGTTTTATTTTAAAAATGGAAATATGGTTTTGGGGGGGAGGCAGAGCTTTGTGACGTCATATTTGATGGGGTGTCTGACCTTTTGTGACGCCGTGTGACGAAGGGGGGGGGGTAAAAAATCGTCCAAAATCGCGTGACGTCATTTATGGACGGCCCCTAAACGCACGTTTCCAAATGTGGAGGTAAACACCAGAAGACCCGGAGAAAGATCTACGCGACCACGGGGAGGTATACATGCAAATTCCAAATATACACGTGCCGGGTTTGGGGTCGAACCCACGACCTCCTGTGTCCCGGGCGAGGTAATTAACAACTTGCCACTATGGCACCCAAGTCGGCTTAATGCTGACCATTTTGGCTGTTGCTAACCATTAAGAAAGGCTTAATTTGGAGCTTTCGTGACTGCAGGAATTACTCTTTGGTCCTTTCGGTAAAGTCACGTATAAAGATAAAATAATACATTTAATAATAGCATACTACGACATTTCGATTGCAACACAAGCAATCGTCATCAGGTATAAAAGAAATAGCAACAAAAATCTAACCAGAAAACTATAGACAGATATATAAGCAGACAGATATGCCGATACGTGTTCTCTCTCTGTGTATCTTTATGATGTCTGTCTGCTTATATGTCTGTCTATAGTTTTCTGGTTAGATTTTTGTTGCTATTTCTTTTATATCTGATGACGATTGCTTGTGTTGCAATCGAAACGTCGCAGTATGCTATTATTTAATTTATTATTTTATCTTTATACGTGACTTTACCGAAAGAACCAAAGAGTATTAAGAAAGGCCTTTCGTCATCTCACTTTGCCGCCATGAACAACGACAGCTGATCTCTCACCATGCGGGGACACGATCTGTATTCCGCGGTGGCTCTTGGACTTTTGAAGCCACAGCTTCTTGGGTTGCTCCTTCGCCTGAGGAAATTACAAAAAAAATGCCCAGTATCGGCTTCAACAGGCTGTTCGGGCAAGTGCTGCTATACGTGCGTGTGCGGCAGGTGGTGCTGGTGCATCTGACGCACACACATACCAAAACAAATCAAAGACCTCTTTCCCTAAGATCTTTGCCAGACTGTTGGGGCAAACGATGTTAGCAAGCACCTAATAAAGTCCGCATGGTGCACGTGGTATTGCTGTGGCCAGCACCACACGCGGCCGCCTTTGTCAATCTAGTGCTGATGTTTACACACTGAATCAACCTCGAGGAGGCCCACGACTGCTTCAGATATCACTCGCCACTGACGTTAGCCATGGGTGGTAACTGATGCATACCTCAAGATTCATTTAAAATAGAACAAAGATCTATTCTATATAAGATAATGGTTGTTTTTTTGTAATTGTTAAATGTGTATGTATCGTGTGATGTCCCCCTGTAATGATTATTATTTAGGCCACGTATGCTCTTGTGTTCGACTTAATTTCAGAATATGTGAGGAGCGGTGGCGTGGTGGTTAGCGCACTTCGCTATGAATCTGGCGACCTGACTCTAATTTTTCAGAAACGACTAACATCAGTGGCGAGTGATACTGGTAGGAACCCACTGTATCCACCAGCCCACAGGGGATTATTGTGTCCGTCCGTCGTGCAGGGAGGGGCTGGGTGGGGAGGGGAGGGTGGGGAGGGGCTGGGTGGGGAGGGTGGGGCTGGGTGGGGGGTGGGAGGCGTGGCGCTGGGTGGGGAGGGGCTGGTCACCCCGTGGTGCCCTTATAAAACTCAACGTTTAACCTACTCACGCCGGCTTGTGCCCGCCCTCACAGTCGGCCATATTTGCGGAATACACCACGCCGCCGTAGACCCTGGCCATTGACTGAGCATCCCAACGTTCCTACCAGCTCCCTCCGCAGCAGGAATGTGTTTTCTGAACCGGTCCTGGGTGCCCCCTTCACCTACTCAACACTAACTAAAGTGGTGAAGTATGGTCAAACAGTCTCCATCACTGACACGGCATGGAGAGGACCTTCATTCAGCAGTGGAGTGACACGTGTATGTAAATGATCACCTTTATTATTATTATTATCACATGGTCTACATCGTGTTTCAGGTCTCCCTTGAAAGTGAAGTGAAAAGTCAAAGGGACCTCAGCTGGCATGGATACTTATAGTCTTTCGAGTACATTTGCACCACGTACCTGAGCCATCAGCAGGAGTGTGTCCTCCGGAAGGTGGAAGGCGCGAGGAATGAAGGTGAGGTTAGTGGAGGCGACATGGAGTTTACTCGTGAGGAACCCTGAGCCGGGGAAGTGGTTAATCTGACAGCACGGGGACACAATACATCGTCATCAGCGACATCATCATCATCTGTAGCATCGTTGTCAGTATCATCATCGTCAACATGATCAATAAAACGACCGATCATTGTCAACATCGTTTATAACAAGAACGATGGATGATTTTTTTTTTACGTTAAAAGTGGCGATTATGAAGATGTGCATGCCGCACCCAGCGCGGCAGGATGGAGGGGGGTCCCCAATGAAGCAGCCTGCTGAAGGGGGGGTAGCCGTGTGCCCAGAGGAGCGACCAGCGGGACTGGGGCCCCCCACGAGTGAATCCGAGACGTGCGAGAACGCGGCGCACCTCCTCCAGGTCTCCATCGCCGCCCTGCTGCAGCGCACCGACACACACAGACACACACAGACACACACCGACACACACAGACACACACAGACACACACCGACACACACAGCCCCACTGGTGACACCGACTACTCACCGACATACACAGACACACCGGTCCCACCGACTACACACCAACACACACCGACACACACAGACACACACAGACAACACACAGACACATACAGACACACACAGACAACACACAGACACACACAGCCCCACTGGTGACACCGACTACTCACCGACACATACAGACACACCGGTCACACCGATTACACACCGACACACACCGACACACACAGCCCCACTGGTGACACCGACTACACACCGACACACACAGCCCCATCGGTGACACCGACTACACACAGACACACACAGCCCCACCGGTGACACCGACTACACACCGACACACACAGCCCCACCGGTGACACCGACTACACACCGACACACACAGCCCCACCGGTCACACCGACTACACACCGACACACACAGCCCCACCGGTCACACCGACTACACACCGACACACACAGCCCCACCGGTGACACCGACTACACACCGACACACACAGCCCCACCGGTCACACCGACTACACACCGACACACACAGCCCCACCGGTGACACCGACTACACACCGACACACACAGCCCCACCGGTGACACCGACTACACACCGACACACACAGCCCCACCGGTCACACAGACTACACACCGACACACACAGCCCCACCGGTCACACCGACTACACACCGACACACACAGCCCCACCGGTCACACCTTCTACACACCGACACACACAGCCCGACCAGTCAAAATAATGATTCCCTTACTACGGGCAGTGCATCCAATCCACTGTTGTACCCAGCGTCTATGGTCCCACGGATTTCTTCCCCAACTTCACCAATCCACACTGACCAGCGTGGCCAGGTATAGACAAATAGTTAAGGAGGCCTTCATCCAGCAGTGGCTTTACAAAAGGGCTCTACATTTATCCTGTACTCTTTGGTTCTTTCGGTAAGGTCAAGTAGGTATAAAATAAAATCAATCACGTTTCAGGCGCAACACAAGCGCCCGTCATCGGACACAAGTGTTGTGCCCGAAACGTCGTGATTTATTTTATTTTATACCCACGTGACTTTACCGAAAGAACCAAAGAGTATGGATCCCTGCAGTCACGAAAGCTTCAAATCAAGATGTATCCTGTAAACTGATTGCGGGTAATCAAGCACCTTACAACGTGGCGGTGGCGATGATGATCCACTTGCTCATGACGATCACAAAGCTGATGATCCTCAAATTCTCGAATGCACCAATGACCCCCCGCTGTGCCATTGCCAAGAGGCTGTAGACCAGTGTACTCACGTGTGGCGCAAGCAGGCAATAAACCATGGGCTCCGGCTCGCGTGGTCGTGCCCGTGTCTCCGCGCCGCTCTCAGGACCCATCGGAGCCGCTCCCGAATCCAAGACCTGGCTCCTCCACCTCTCGCGCATCTCCTGAACGAGACCCGCGCTCATTACGAGTCCCACGGTTGTACCCAGCAAGGCAGCCCAGCAGCGGGTGCCGCCGCTGGGACAGGAGCCCCGTGCCCTGCTCCGACCCCTGGGCATCTCGGCCCCTGTGTCACCATAAGGGCCCCCCGCCCCCTGTGCGCTTCAATGCAAGGGGTCAATTTACAAGGTCCACGTGTCAATAGAATGGTCCCAAATGGTCGTCGTGTCACCTGAAGGGGCCGCAAGGGTCCTTGTGTCACTGCAAAGATCCCCCGTGTCAAGGCGCATCCCGTGCGTTACCACAAGGGTCGTCGTGTGCCTCCACACTTCTCGGGGCCGTGTTTGCCGTGGCAATCCTCGCTGCGGAAACCACCCACCCCAGGTCCCCCTTATTCATCCGTGGCGCCGTCATCCGCCGCTGCGTCAACTGCAGGAGCTGAGAGTTCAGAGGCTCAATAACCAACAACGACGACAACACAAAGACGACGACGATGATGATGATGATGATGAGGACGAGGAGACTGATGGAAGCTGTGGCGGGAGCAGGAGACGGAGCCGTGGACGGAGCTGCATGGATGGAGCTTGCGGGAGCTGGAAGAGCGCAGAGGGAGAGCGGAACGGAGTTTGGAGGAAGCTGGGATGGGAAGATTTGGGGGTCGTGCAGCAGAGCCGAAATTGATGTCGACGCGCATTCTGTCCGCTAGATGCCGCTCCGATCCGTGCAGCTCCACAGATCCAGCAGCAGCTGCTGCTGCTGCTCGGTGGTGGTGGTGGGAGGAGGAGGTCAGAGGGGGATACGGAGGAGGTGAAAGGAATGCGAAGGGGAACGGAATCCCGGCCTATGCGATCAGCCCCGTTGGAAGACACTTATAGCACCATGACGTCAATCCACTGCTGGATCAGGGCCCCCTGGTCCACGCCTTTCGGCTTGATGGGATCATTTCACCAAACTTCGGCACGCTGGTCAATGCGGTGTTGCCGAAGGCCGCGGCTGCATTGGATTGCAGTGCTGCAGTGGATTTTGCTGCACTGCCCAATGGTGACAACATCGAGCAGCGGCAGAAGCCTTTAGCAGATGCTCTTTTACAAGGCCGTAGCCATGGAGTCAACATTGGGGGGGGACCCAATCTTCCAGGGGGTATGGGGGTTTCCCCCCAGAAAAAAAAAATCTAAATTTGAAAACGAATTTCCTGCCTAAAATATAAAAAAATTCACTAACACATAGGATGGACTTTTTTTTTACAATAATGTCTAATAGCGTATTGTATTACATTGCTCTGTTTTTACTACCTTTTCTTGTTTCATTGTCTGTAATGGCCAGATATTAGGGATTAATAAAGTACAACCATAACCACAATCATATTAACATAAATCTATTTATAGCAATATTTTGGGGAAGATATTTTGAGCATATTTTAAAATAGATGTGTCCCCCCCCCAATATACTGTATATTATAATTACGGCCTTGCTCTTTTATGTGACCAGGTCAGATCTCTAAATCTAAGCGGACTGGAGCCGAGTTAAAGGGGATATTTACAAGGCTATTGTCCGTAGGTTGGCTCTTTATTTGTCTGACCTGTTGTTACTACCCTTGGGACGATCCTAAAAATCTGATTGTCTCTGAATAGTTCCCAGTTTTCACACAATTTGGATCTAAAGCCGCCGAGTTTCGTCTCTTGGAATCTCAACTCTGCCCTGTTTGTCCTCATTTAAACTGGCTATTAAACATCACTGCCGTTTAAGTGTGAATGTGATTTGACAACATAATTGGTATTCTTTTAAAACAAATCTTTATTATGGAATACTTTGATGTTTTCTACCGGCCGAGTACTCGCCTCTTGAAAAGTAACTTCTTAGCTCAATGGGCTTCATTCGGGAAATACATTTCTGATTCTGATGCATAACATTTTTTAATGCATTTATTCAGGAACGCATCACGGAGTGTCAATGCTATGTGTGAGCAGTGCCCTGTCACATTACGGGGATGTTTTGGCCAATTGAAGTTGTTGGTGTGTTTGGCTTCACAAGGGGGGGGAGGGAATCTACGAGTTACGTCTCCACCTTTAACGCCGTTTCGCACATACGTCGTCACTTTATTAATACCACGACCGGATTTGCGTCGACTCAACCCCGCGCGTTTCAATATTCGTTGTCGCGCCTTTCAGGAACGCATCCTCGACGTAAACCGGGGTATGGCTGTAAAGAGTGGTCCAGACGTCTTGTGACCCCCCCCCACCCCCCCACAATTCATTGACCCCTAAACTTATTTTTCATTTCCATATTAATTTCTGTTTTAAATGAACCTTCCTTAAAACATGAAGTTTTAGATAATTAAACGGGGGGGGGGGGGGAAGGGAGGGAGTGGGGGGGAAGGGAGGGAGTGGGGGGGGTCACAAAACATCTGGACCACCCTGCACATCCCGGAGAGAGATTGAGAAATTCGCCGGTGACGTCACCGCGCGCTGACGTCACCGCGCGTTGAGAGGAGGGGGGGAGGGAAATCCGGTGACGTCATCGCGCACGAGCGCGCGCGCCACTTACGTCGGTGGAGGGGGCGGGGCAAACAAAACGACGTGCGTGGTGACGTCACGCGCAGGGCGGGACCCGGACGTCAATCGGGCACAGGCGCGCGGTCGCCTCCTCCACCACCACCACAGCCGCCGTCTCCGCCGTCTCCTCATCCATCGTCCTCCTCCATCGCCCTCCTCCTCCTTCTTCTTCCTCGCTCGGCGCACAGTTTCCCTCCTCGCCGGCCCGCCACCGAGAGTTGTAACGTGTGTGCGTTACGTGTGTTAGTGTGTGTGTGTGTGTGGTTTCGTGTCTCTCACTAAACCTCCGTCGCCTCGCCGGGAGTCCCACGATGGTACGTAAACAGCGCGGTTGGTGGAGGGAGTGTCTGTCGGCGGCGGCTGTGGGGGGGTGTGGAGTGTAGTCGCGTCGGCCCTTCGTGCGGTGTTTAGCGGCCGAGGCGGATTATTCAGGGCAGGGCCGCTCGTTATATCGCACTGTACACACTCACCCGCGAGTACAGCGGGATGACACTGTACGCACTGTACGTACAGTGCGGTCCGGCCATGTGCGCCGGTCCTTGTTGCGTCGCTTTGCTTGCACGCACGGCGTCGTGGCCGCCCGGCCGCCCCCCCCCCCCCCGGCTGGAACATTGCGGCCCGGGGCGGACGCTGTGCCCCACCGGCAAGTGTGGAGCTGAGTGTGGGCACGGCGACCCGAGCCAGCACTGCCTCGTGTACCACTCGCCCCGCTCTTTCACCGCTGACGGCAATGCAACGAATGGCAACTCTGTGCCCGTCTTAACAGTGCTGTCATTCGGTAAGTGGATGATCCTGGCTGGTTGGCGATGACCGGCGATGATTAATTAGTTGCGCACTGCAAGCGGAGTTGCGTGGCCACGCTTTGTGAATCTAATCGTGTCGTGATCGAGCCGCACTGCAGTGGCACTGCGGTGGCACTGATAAAGATCTTTGACGTACACAGAAGTTGGAGTTCGTTGCACGGTACCATGCTCGAGTACTCCACTAGAATATTGTGCAAAGCAATTGGAACGGCATGCACAGTTCTGTGTACTGCAGTGGAGTTAAGTTATTTAATACCGTGCTTTGCCTTGGTATTATTATTATATACTGCGTGTGTAGTTCACAGGAATCGTATGGTCTGTATTGCACTGGCACTACGTCATGTCATCCAGGATACTCGTGTTAATTGTATTTGTATGGGTTATCACTGGTCATCGATTATGAATTCATATCCTTTATCTTGCCTTAACCTGTATCCTGTTATTTATCTTATCGTGGGTGAAAAGAATCGATGTGCTTTTTTAAAAATCGCATCTCAGCGCAACTTTCCCCGGTCTTCTCCGCTCAGGAATGTGAATTGGTAATATCTTAACCACATTTCTCTGCCTTCTCATCTGCACCATTGTCTACACATCTTCTCATTGTACTACACCTACACCATTGTCTACACATCTTCTCATTGTACTACACCTGCCCATTGTCTACACATCTCATTGTACTACACCTGCACCATTCTCTACATATCTTCTCATTGTACTACACATGCCCATTGTCTACATATCTTCTTATTGTACTACACCTGCCCATTGTCTTCATATACACTGTATTCTCATTGTACTACACCTGCCCATTGTCTTCATATCTTCTCATTTTACTACACCTGCACCATTGTCTACATATCTTCTCATCGCACTACACCTGTTTTGTCTACGTGTTTACTCGTCGTTTTTTCATTTTGATTTCCCAACATGTCTCTGTGTCTGTTTAACACGTCGGCTTTCGCGACCAATATCATTCAAAAATATTTTTGGGTTAGATCGCGTAAGTATATGCGGGCTGGAAGCGTATTATTAAGTAATACATCTTACAATTTACAATTCCTTATAGAAGAAACACATACTAATTCACTGATTTTTCGATTTAAAGCTTTTGTGACTGCAGGGATTCATCTTCTTGGTTCTTTCGGTAAAGTCACGTAGAAGGGAAGTAATAAAATAATAAAAATAAAACATAATAAACGTCGTGAGAATAATTTTATTATGTTTTATTTTTATTATTTTATTACTTCCCTTCTACGTGACTTTACCGAAAGAACCAAGAAGAATTCACTGATTACTAATCTATTATATCATTACAATACCCCCCCCCTCCGCCTCTGATCTCTGCACATGATTGTGACGACGACCTGCTGCACTATTTAAGACGGGAGGCAGGTGGATTGCTTCACTATCCTGGCAAATCACCCGTTGATGCTGGTTGATGTAATTACCAGCGAAACGTCGTACTACTCAATTTGTAAATGTTGAGGATTTACTTTGAAGTAGTAACCACTTGGTGTTTTGTTTACGTGACAAGTCCCTTACTAATTGGCTGTGTCGGGTGGTGGAGGCTGACGACACATTTATACTTACGCGATCTAACCCGAAAACCTTGACTATGAATTGTCTATTATGTGTCTGCGTTGCATCTCTTCTCTCGTCTCCCAACATATTTGTATCTTGTGTGCATACTTTTCTAAGGGGCCATCCATAAATGACGTCACGCACCTGGGGGGGGGGGGGTTGAGAAATGTGACGTCACATCAAAATGCGCAACTTTAAATACATATAGACAACACGTTCTACTTAATTAAATAGACTTTTAAATAAATGTTTTCTCCTACAACATCAGATTGCAGCGCCACATTAAATACGCACTACAATGACAAGAGTTTAAAGCGATTTAAAGCATGGTTTATTTTTTTTGGGGGGGGCAGAGCTTTGTGACGTCATATTTGAGGGGGGGGTCTGGCTTTTTGTGATGCCGTGTGACGAGGCGGGGGGGTCAAAAATCGTCTAAAATCGCGTGACGTCATTTATGGACTGCCCCTAATCCCAATATACCGCTATTTCTCTCCTAAGTCTTTGGGATAGCTTAGCAGGCAGTTTCAAAAGGCCATCACAGGTCTCATCTGGCCATAAGGCTGCTAATTAAACAACACTAATGTACTCTTATCACCTTTCAGTGGAGTGGCATGGTGCTGCGGTGCATTGCTGCATGATAATCATAATACATACTACAGTAGTTGATTAGAGCATTGTTGTGCCGCAGCACATTGCTGTTGCACGATCCGTTCAGAAAATATCCTGCACTGCTATTGTCGTCCTGTGTGCTTGCTGCACTTGCAGCAGCCGTGTTGTAGAGGCAGCCGCTGCACCTGCCAGGCAGCAGCAGATGGCCTTTGTTGGTGAAGCTCCCATTACTCTGCGAGCAAATGGAGGGGGCTGGGTGGGCTCTCCCAGACTCCGCAAAGCTCTTGCGGGCCATTGGGAGAGGCCGCGTTATGCAAGTCGACTGGAGGATGTGGTCAAACAGTGTCACATGCGACCCAAGTCGTTAAACATTGACACCTAAAACGGGCCTGTTGCAACGTCACGAGGCGTTTAAATGATTGTCATTGTTAATGGCTTTTTTCTTACCGAGGAAATTCTCTCCCAAGACTCCGACGGGTTCTTGTAGCGTAGTACATTAAAACTGTATGGCTGAGAAGACTGCATGAGTTAGTTAAGGTTCCCATTTAGCACGAGCAAACCTCACGTTAAATAATAATATCCTATTTACCATAATGTATTTTATGGTCGCCTTCTATACGTGTAAGTAATAAGTTAAAGGCACATGTTTTGGACTTTAGCCTATGCTAATCCTAGATATTTAATTGAGCTCATACATTTCCCCATTTCAGTGTCTCAATATCAGTTCCTTAATGACTTGAATTCAAAATTATTAGACATCACCTCCTTGAAATGTTTAGTAAACTTTTTTGTTCCGTTACAGTGCCACAAAACATGAAATTCAAGTGGTAAAGAGCAAACAGCTAAAACAGCTAATTTCATGGCCTGACCAAAACTGGTTTTGGCTATATGTAGTTAATGCAAATGACAAATAAGGTATCTGTTTATCTTTTTAAGACCCATGGCAAAACAGTTTAGCTGGAGAGCACACAATTTGTCTAATGGAATGGTGTAAAGCTTTTATGTTTGGTATAAAAATGTGAATGCTTTCCATCTACATTAACTCATATTTAGAAATGCAAATCGAGTGTGGTGTCAACTGTATGTCATTTGTTGGAAAATTCCTTTGATGGCTTTTTTTGCTGCCCGTAAAATGGACTGATGTCTCTCTTGGGGCTGCTTGTGGTCCATACATTGCTCACTGATTTGAGGCCCAGATGAAGTTATGCTGTGCCAAAGTGTGGGTGAGGGAGCTGTGGGTCCAGGAGCATTGCAGCAGAGAAAAGTGCCGTTAAAGTATTACATTATACATAACGTGAGTTGTGCTTGGAGCACTTTCAAGTTTGAAATTCTACTTTCCCACTTTGCCCATGTTACAATGTGGTTCTTGGGGCTCATTGGATACACTCGGCGATTAGCACAACTGACAGATACACTTTGCACAAGTGGTGAAATTAAAAGCACAAGAAGCAACCGTTCGTTGTGCGGTGATGCTGCAAGGCAGACCTACTTAGATATGCCCACCTCTCAAGAAGTGGCTGTCATTCACCCTCCGTGGCTAGGCAAAGTCACTTGTTATTTTAGTCCATATAAGTGCCAATGAAAAGGCGACAGCCATTTAAGAGGTTTATTGGGAACATGGCTGTTGATGTACATAAATCTCCATGTGGTAGGCTACGTACAGTTCAGTATTAATCAAAGTATGTGTGTCTACCTTTCAAATAAGCAAAGAAAGCAGCACTTGCTTTTTTGACAGCCTTCAGATTAAAGCACAAATTCCATTATTTTTTTTAAAATACGATAACTCTTCATTTCTTTCAAAGTGGCATTGATTTTTATCTACCTCCAAAAGGATTATTGCTTCAGTTAACCCCCCACAGCAACTCTTTCACAATTGGTGAAATATAAATGTCTAATCTCTTTTACAGAACCACCCAGCCTAATCTCTTTAAGTTCCAATAATATCCGTGTACAGTGCATGTAAAACTGCCTCATCATCTATATGTAATCGTTCGAATTTACTTTCCTGCTTCTTAAACAGGGCTTCCAAAAACCAGTTGGTGTACAAGAAAGTGTTCGTAACGTTTATATTCACAACTCAATTGTTTTAAAATGAAGGCCATGCATTGTTATATTCAAACCACCTCTTACTATGATCACAATTTCTCAACGGCCACTTTACAGTCACAACACTCATTTGTATTGCATCACAGTTGTACTGGGCAGATGTGGGGTTTAAACCACTGGACCATTGCATACCATGTTTATAGAGAGAGTGACACTATTGACATTTACCAGTTGTGCCTGTTGGGCTTAAAATATATATTTAAATATTTTATTGCTTTTGATAATCTAGACTCAGGCTGGAGGAAAGGGTGTGGTGTGGTGTGCCAATGTATTTCTACATTTTCACAAAGCGATTTTCAAAGTACTTTGGCGAAAAATAATCATAGGTGCGGTTGGTACGAAATGCAATACATATAATTGCATCTTTACAAAGGCATAAATGTGACTACTGTTTTTGTTGTTAAATTTATCTTTGTGTGTGTGTGTTGACAGGGTAACGAGAGCAGCTACCCACTGGAAATGTGCTCCCATTGTAAGTTCTCAGAGTCTCACCGAGCACTTAAGTTACCCGTCACCTCTTCAGATTGCTGCATTTTTCCCCAATGTGGCAGAATGTCTGCCTTGTTGCGTTCTGTACCCAATCATGCACTGCAGAGGTCGCAACCGGGTACCCGATAACCCGTACCCTACCCGATACCCGGCTACCCGTACCCGGCCGGGTACGGGTAGCCGTTTGTGACCCTGGTACGGCCGGGTACGGGTAGGCCGTGAGTCACTGGTGAGTCACCGTTTATCACTCATTTCGGGTAGGGTACGGGTAGGGAACGGGTACCCGTACCCGGCCGCACCAGGGTCGCAAACGGAATCAAAACCCGTTTGCGACCTCTGATGCACTGGCGTTTGCCTACATTTTTAATCATCGGTCTTGCGCTAAAAGCAACTTCTTACATCGTAAGGATGTAACCTCCAGCTTGCTCTTTTTTCATCTTGCGGAGATGTGTGATTCTTTATTTGCTGACTTGTTGTAAAATGTGAGCAATGTCTATTGCATTGACTGCAGCTTAAGTGTCAACCTCTCCGAATGTGTTTTGCCCAGAGCAATATGGGAAATGTACGGCTGTTGGGAGTTGCACACCATTTGGCCGTTCCTTGTCTTATCTGGCAGAACAAAAAGCACATAACCGAATTTGCGCGTGATGGTCATTGTACGTGGCTGATTTTAATCAGTAAGTGAATTGGGTTATACGGAACTACAGTGTGTTATTTTTTTTTAATACTGTATAATTTTTGCAAGGGAGCAGTCACACTTTTCAAGCGTTGCACTAGAATTTTTCGCTCAAATAATAAACTATTTAATCAGGGAGGGCTTTTTTTATATGAATATAAGAACACAACAAGATCACGCAAATGTGAAATACTATGTGTAATTTAATGGGTGTTAGCTTTTTTATGTTTTTATTCACAACAATGATGTAATGTTTTAGACACTCCCTTCAATAAGCCTGTTGAACATGCTAATGTTCTAATGAGTCAAATAAATAAAAATTCGCCTGTGTTTATTGTGATACAAAATCTCATTGAAATAACTTTACTTGATCAGAGCAGACCTGTGTTCTGTTTGATTCGGACCTGTATATAAATGTAATATACAATACTTTTCCATATCGCCAAAGACATGGGCATATGGTATCCTTTGATTGTCAATACTCTTATAGTTTTTACAATCACATTTTTCTCAAACATTTTATTCAAGGTTCACTCCAAGGCCCCGTACAATATATAATACACACAATTTGTTACATCGTTCACTCTCTGTTCAACTGCAACATCTTGCAATTTACCTGTAACAGTGGCACAAATAAACGTAGTAAAATTGTGCAAAAAAAATTGTAACTCGTTATCAAAGGCCGTAGGCATTTTATATCGGGATGACACACTTACGGTAATGTTTGTAAATCATTTCTGGATGACTGAAGTGGCCTGGTTGTAAAAAAACGCAATAAGACAGGTAATAATCCATGTTGCGAGTTATTGATTGATGCCCTGCTGCTTTCATCGCAACACTCCAGTTGACGCAGACGAGATCAAGCGTCTGGGCAAGCGTTTCCGCAAATTGGACCTGGACGGCTCGGGTTCACTAAGCGTTGAAGAGTTCATGTCGCTGCCTGAGCTCCAACAGAACCCGCTCGTCCAACGCGTCATAGACATCTTTGACACAGATGGCAACGGGGAGGTGGATTTTAAAGGTGTGCTGTTGGCGGAACATAGACAATTGTACTTAATGAGATGAATATGCTGCACTTTTAGGGTGTTCATCATTCGCACCACTCTGTAACAGACAAAATATAAGTTTTATCATTCCTCTATATTTGTTTTCTCCTCTAAAGAAGGGCAATTTATTAAAATATCCTTTGGTGAAAAATTTTCTGTGTTAAGACATTGTTAATGACAATGGTTAAGGGGTGAATTTAGTCTGTACTTGTAGACCACTTTCAAAGTAGTTCCTTTATTTTTATATGGGTATTTCATTCTTCATCAGTTATACCATAGTTGAAATAGCCACTTTTTTAACTAATTTTTTTGGGAACCCCTTTTCAACAGCAGAGGATTAGTTATGAAATAAGTGAGGTGGTATTTAGAGCATTTTGTATTTTCAGTGGGTTATCTCGCTCAACTGTGGCAAGCTGTCCATTAATATCTCCGTGCCTATCTCTTGAATCAGTAGGCACAGTTTTACATTTACCAAAATTAGCACAAAGCATACATATACCAATGTTTTGTTTGTTTTATCACTGGTGATCCAGCTTGGACGAATTCACTACGCACATAAATACTGTTGCATGTTGTGTGGAAGCCTGGAATTTGATGCTAAGAGCACAATAGTACTCAATCAGTGGTCTTACATGACCCGAGAGGTGGCATGATTTCGGTACCCCAACTCTTTCTGTGGTTTTAATTGATTTACTGCCAATTTCTCAGACCAGTAATACATTTGCAAAGGCATTTTAGGGGCTACTGTTTCTGTACACCCGTCTTTTAACATGTCGTTGCTGAAATGTGCCGTGCTGGCATAGCAGCCCAAGTGTAGTTTATGATGCTCTGCTGCCTTCAGCTCATATAACCTGTTTCATTATCGTGCTTGTTGGAGCAGGAATTTAGTGTTTTTTGCTATCGTATACCAATAAATGTCAAAGGTTTAAGGTTTGCATGTTTGCTCACTGTCTCCTGCAGAGTTTATTGAAGGCGTGTCACAATTCAGCGTAAAAGGGGATAAAGATCAAAAACTACGCTGTAAGTATTCTGTGAGACTTTCTTTTAAAAGTATATATTTTTTTTCAATTTAAATCGTAGTTACTTTTAACCAATCGATAACGCCCATAGTTGAATATATAGGGGTAAACGACATACTTTTTATGTTAAACAAAAAGCATTAAAATGTCCTCCATTAACCAATGGGTGTCACAAGACATTTGTATTTATGGTTGGGAAGTGGAACTGTGCAGTGGTTCAAGCATGCGCAATGAAACCCGTTCAGCTCAATTTGATTCCCAGCCACATTTAACTTTGGTGGCAAGTGATAGCCGAGCTCCTATTGGCATCCTCTCCGTCCCGAAACTGCACTGAACAGCTTGTTGAAGTGTGGTCAAACAATCCTATGATGGCATAGGGAACCCTTCATCCACAAGTGGATTGAAAAAGCGCCATGAATTAGTTATGTTTTTTGTTTGCATTATGACTGCAGGTATTGTGGTCTATGCAAACATGACTCCTTGTAAAAAAGGTGTCAGTTTTGTTGCCAGATAGAATGGTAAAAAAACAATTATCATATTTTTTACTGGCAAATGAGGTTCCAATGGTGTAAATGCTTACCCCGAGCTCTCATACTCTGATGCATTGTCTTTGAGTTGTGTGCCTTTTGGCGTCATCTGGTCCAACTAATGTGAGACTCGGCTCTAAGGAAAGCTGTCTCGGGTGGGGACCAATCAACTTCAAGGACAGTGCATACATTATCAGAGTTATGTTTTTTGTTTGCATTATGACTGCAGGTATTGTGGTCTATGCAAACATGACTCCTTGTAAAAAAGGTGTCAGTTTTGTTGCCAGATAGAAGGGTAAAAAACCAATTATCATGAATTAGTTTGTTTATGAAAACACGTTGACTTGTGACTAATTGGCTGTTCTTGCTGTACAACTATATACAATGTTCATCTGACTCAATTGATCATGGTACCATCTATTCAGAATCTGTAGCGTCATTGTCATGGGGTGTCTTATCGGAGTCTAATAATGCAAAATATTTTTTTCCGTGCACATGAAGTTGCATTCAGAATTTACGACATGGACCGAGATGGCTACATCTCCAACGGGGAGCTCTTCCAGGTGCTCAAGATGATGGTGGGAAACAACCTGAAGGACACACAGCTGCAGCAGATTGTTGACAAGACCATCATCAATGCCGACAAGGATGGCGACGGGCGGATATCTTTTGAGGAGTTCTGCGAGGTGAGCATATTGCAATGCAAAATAATAAAAACATTGATTCTTATCTATTCCTCAGCAACCAAAGCGAAAGCCATAAACATGCTGAGATGATACTGTAAGAGCTGACTGTGGGGGCCACGTTTTCGATTGTGTAACAGTCCCAGGATTGATCAGAATGCAGGAAGTAATGGCCTGGTTTTGTCACTCGAAGGGCATTGGCTGGGTCTGTCTCTGACTTGATTTATCCACAACGGCCTCTTGAGAGTACAGTCTCAGGGGAATGGGATGTTCGGCCAATTCCTAAATTGAAGATGTTTGTGCACAGGAGTAAATTGGAGTTCCAAGTGAAAGATGGAGGTATGCATAACATTTAAAAAGCAAGAAAAAAACAAATACACATTTGTCCGTACCCTGCTTTCTGTACGACTATCTTCTGTAACTGTGCATATTGGAAGTTTCACTCATTTGGTGACGTTTGACTTTGTAGCCCTGCATTATTAATTTCACTGTCGCAGGCATTTTTGTGTGACCCACAACCCCCCCACCTCCTCCAAAGTGCCAGAATTCAGGCTTGGACTTGGCAGCTACCTGAATGTTTCTAAACGCAGCGGTGCTGGCAGTGCCGTCAGGTCAACCTGACTGCACTGTGAGTCACTGCAGTCAAGTTAGAGTGGAACAAGTTAACTTAAGAAATATCAATTTGCTAATGTGGGCCTTTACTCGGTAAAGCCCAGTAATAATTGCTGAAGATGCATGGCTCTTACTGTAAAAAGTTCCAGAATAGAAACATAGTTCTCTCCTTGTTTTGTGATATAAAAATTTACATATATTTCGCGATGGCAAAAAAAAGAAAGTACAAATAATTATTTATTTCAAAATTTTCACATCGAGGCAAATCTGCCCAACCACACATTGAGATGTTCACGTCGGCGTGCATCGATGAATGGACGTTGGCATAACGAAGCAATTGTGCGCAAGTTGGCAGTCGTGGCTGTAATACCGACACGCAATGGTCTACTCTCATCTTATATAGTCCCTTTTACTTTTTACAATAAGACATTCGGAACAAATACTTCTACTTTAGTCCTCTGCCCAATGGTATTTCTTGGACTCAAATGCCCTCCATCCTGTTCATATTCTAAAGCTTTTATTTTATACATGCCCACCCCCCAACTCCTTTAAGTCTACAAGCAATATTTTATTTCCATCTCTTTGGCACATTTGCAACATTCTTTCTTTCACTACTTCAGAAATGTCTACACTATGTGCTTGCTGAAAGTAAATATCGACAAAAATTATCGACATGACCTTCTGAACATGTGTGGATGCCAACATCCAATTTTAACATCCTGAAACTGAAACCACAGTGTTGTAACCACATAGGACATTTGGCACTGCCTGCAACCACTCCTCACTATTTTAAAACACTGCACGATATACCAATTTCCCCAATTTCTCAGCGTGATAGCACAGAAAAGAATGTGTATTATTGTGATTGAGATGACTTGGTGAAAACCTTGCATAGCGATAATGAATGTGATAAAATTACTTGTCAATTTAGTCATACCTCTTGAGACTTATCATTCTTCTCAGAATCAATCTCTACTATAATGGATCATATGTGGCTCGTAAATTCCGAGACCATTTTAAGTCATTTGAGTTTGTTATCTTGATGTGCATGCGATGGAAAAAACAGGTTTCAGTGTTACTAATAGGCCTCATTTTATAGCTATGTACCCAGACCATCTTTAATTGTTCAAGTAAACTTGAGGACCGTTTTTGAATATAAAAATGTGGCATCATTCCATGATTGAGGTATTTCATTTTTATGTAAACATTTGGTAAATAGGTCCACTTAATATATGCCAGTTTAACTGGTGCTGCGTATTTTATGTCCACACTTATGCCAACTTGTTCCCAGGACCTTTTTTTTTCTTTGTGAACGACAGTGTTTAGTTTTTCAATTGCAATATTTGGAACATCCTCATCTTCATCCGGCACATGGTTTGGGTCCTGGGATTTGTGAATTATTTTCCAAAAGAACACAATTCCTCCATTAATGTGATCTCTTATCATATGTAATGCTTCCATCTTTCTCCCTAAGGGGCTACCATTTGTGAATTTCTAATCGTCAACCTCTTTTTGATGTCTTGATGCTCCCATTGATTTCTGTGATGTCATCAAACGTTTTTGTATTGTCCTCTGTTTTTAATTCGCATTTTATCCTGAATTGTTGTACAGAGTTTTGTTTATTCAATATTTTGTCTAACATCTCAATTTTATTACATTTCCTCTCTCAACATGCACGATTCATTGTTGCATTGGAAGACAATGAGATATTGCAACCGCTTGGGAAGACCTTTATTCATCAGTAAATAGAGCATGGCTGATGACGACCTAGGCTGTCAGACAAGAGTTTAAAACGTAAATTAGAAAATAATTTACAATTGGCCATGGTCATTTTATTGACATCACTGGGCTTTGGGTCCAATACTGTTTAATATCACTGTAGTTAAGTCACGAAAACATTTCAAACTGTTTCAGTCTGCTTTTCTGTTTCATATGCCTTTCAACATGCTAGACAGCTTGACACAAAGCCTAGGTAGTTTTTTTTATTCTTCACCTAGCATTTTTTCACGACTCATTGCCATTGTTTGCAGCACCTGGGTGTTGCTCTTGGCAACATCTCAGCGGCCAAACCTCTCCAACCTTTTGCTTTCTGATCACAGTACGTGTCTACAGAACGCAATCGTTGACCGTCGATTTGTTTCAGGTTGTTGGCGGTATGGACATCCACAAGAAGATGGTGGTGGATGTTTGAAGTCTCCGCCCATCCTCCTTCATCTTCCCCTCTCGCTGGCCTGCCAGGGAGCTGCACCCTGCTGCCCACTGCTAGTATTGCGCGTCCCTCTCTCTTGCAGAAGTCCCCATTCTGGGGCTTGGTGAGATCTCATTCAGCAGACAGGGTTCCCCCCCCGCCCCCCCTCTTGTAACGCATATCCACAAAACAAGCTTCACGTCGCGTCGGTGGCCACAAACGTACCCCCGCGTCCACGCGGACGAATTGATGCATGCAAATATTAGCAAGCGTTGAGCGGCTGGTCAATTAGTCCTTCATCCTGACATTCAGATTGGTGCACAGCATCAGATATTGGTGTTCTCATAAGGGAAGTCTTAAAATCCCATTGTCAGCGTATGACAAGTGGATTGTTATTAGTTGCGCATTATTTTTTTTAATGGAGAGAGGAAACAATGGCTGTGTTTGGCGATGTTAACTTTCAAAAATAATTACCAATCATATTGCTGTGAGAAGTGGGCCATTGCGTTGGTTGCAAGTGTTAAGAGTAGGTGGCATATTCTGAACTTTGTCCGTGTTCGTAGGGTTGTGTGCGTTGATTTGGGCGGTGAACCATGCGCATGGCAGAAGGTCGCATTTAAAAATAAAACCGGTGGCTTTTTATAAATGATGCGGTGTATGCCGTATACACATCTGCGTCACTTGGCATGTGTAAAGTAGGACATTTTTCTTTGCCGTTTCATGAAATGCTGTTAACTGGGAATGACTCAAGTCAGTTCCATCTGAGAAGTGTTTACTTCCTGTTACATGCAAGGTTTACTTCCGTGTCACAAAAAAGTGTTTAACTTTTTAAACAAGGCAGCATCAATTATTTTTGATAGGGGCATTATAATAAAAGCCTTTGTTACAGCTTTGCTCATATTTCCATGCGCAAAATATTTTTATTATTATTTGGTACGCATAGCTTTGTGTCAGGGGGTCAAACGATAATTGGGAGTCAAAGGAATCCACATAGTAATTTCCACAGTCTTAAGTATTTGGTGGTGTTAATTTCATAAATGTGAATTGCTCCAATGTGGAGCATGCCAATTTCAGATACCTCTGTTGGCCACATCTGGTGTGAGGGACTTTGGAAATGTGATGCAGATATCTTTACGCTCCTTGCATGAGGCCTAAGATGTGTCTCTTGACGGTCCACGGTGTCCGCTGCTGGTTTCGTTAGACAAAAACCAAACGAAGAAGAAAAAACAAACAAACGTGCTAAATCTTTTGTGGCATCAAAACAACATGTGCAGTGTTGTACCACTGTTGTGTTGTGTGTGCTCCGTTGTAAAGTGGAAGGCTTTCATAATTTTGTTCAATTCACTTAGTACTGTCTCGTAGTGTGTATAGTTCCGTGATTAATAATGTTGCGCAAGTTTATTGTATACTGTGCACTCGATTGTTTCTCTGGTTGGTGCTGTCGGGGAAGACTTGCATGGTCTTAAAGTTCTGGGAACGCGGGGGTCATTCCGTCAAAAAAAAACTAGATTCAGGAGATGGGCCACAAAGGGAGGCTTGCTGCACCAGTATTCCTGCCAAGCAAGGTATTTTCATGTTATAACTGCTGTGGTCTATACAGGTGAAGCAACCTTTTAAGTGATTGCTATGGCCATTTCAAATTTTCAGTGACATTTCAGTTTGATAAAAGATTAAAAACACCACATTGACTCCGTACCAAAATGAGTTATGTAATGGCTTTACATGACCGTTTTAAGGCTGCAATTCTACAATATATGTCCACACCCTTTTCACCAGCATGACAAGATAGGCATATGATTTAAATTATGAAATGTTAATGCCTAAAACATACGTCTCCTTATCATGCTGGTAAATATCACAAAACTGGAGTAGAAATCTAGTCTCCTGGAACTAAGTCTCAAGCCACTGCTCCTGAATAAGTGGCCTCGTGTTCCCATATATTAATCATTTGTAAATTTGAGTTTGGAATGCAGTTGTGGCTGTAGGCTGCACACATATGAATGCTTCTTGTCTTATACATGCTTTCACTTTTGTTTATTCAAATTGTGTTTTCTCTTGCCCAATTTCATCTGGTTTATGCTCTTACTAAAATCATGGTATTATAATTATGGGGTATCGTTGAATACTTGAGTTGAACAGTAATATAAGAACATTAAGATAGGTTATCATGTACGGATGATCTCTGACATGACTTGTCAAAATAAGATTCCTACGCTGACTTGTTTTGTGACTGCCGTGCACAAACTTTGCTCAGGGTTATTCCGCTGCCACAGCTAAGCTTGGTTTCCTGGATGATAACTGATCTGCAGTTGACAAGTCATGTCATTTGTCCACTAATGTTAGAATCGGGAACTTTTTTACGCAAACATTTTTTGGGGTAATTTAGAACCGAGTAATATTGGGTCACTGGGCAAAAGGGGGCACATCTCAGCACACCAGTTCTTGAGTTGAGCTAACACGTGTTCGGCCCAACCTAAATTTCAAATTCAATCGCCATGATTAAAGTGTCCGATTATAGTTGGGCCTCGTGTGATATGAACTCGACATTTGACCTAAATATCACTTTTCTTTTTAATACAGTATCTACTCTCACATACGATGGAATTGTGCGCATTCAAAATGCGCTACAGAAAGAAAAATTGTTGTTTACAAGACTGAGTTGAGGAACGTGTACCTACGTTGCGTCTTAAGTTAATCAAAAGATGGCCAACGTTTACAACGAAGGCTCACTGTGTTCTTTGGAAACCTGACCTGGGCCTCTATGCTGGATTTCTCCGTTTTGTGTTCTAACTGTACTCCCATTCGCTGCGCACATCTGTAACAATGAGCTGCCCGGGGCAGTATGTTTAACTCTTTTTGAATTTGAATCATGCAGCAGCGGTTACTTGCATGGCTCGCAGTGCTTCATTGGGGGCGGCACACCATCTGACTAACTTCTGTATCCATGTATCTGTGTTAAGGAATGTGGTTTTGCATAATGTTTTTACTAAAATAAAAGTTAAAAACCAAAAATGGAATATAACGGGACGTTTAATTTTGTTCCAGCGGTGGCATAAAGACATGTAAGGAAATGTATCCTCCCAGGTGACTGGAAATGCGTCGAGGACACACACACACACACGTTTGAATCTTTAACGAATAAAACATCACCTCAATATTGGCCGTGATATATTTTCAAAGTTGCGTTTTTAGCGAAGAATTGGCCATGTGCATGACGTTCAATAACATTGGTGGTTATGAGTGTTGCATTTGTGAGTTGATTATTTGTGGACGCTTATTGTGCTGCTGTGTTAAATAACATAGCAGTGTGTATTGCGTGTAACTTGTACTTGCAGAACCAGTTTTTTACGTGTGGTTTTTTTGAAAGGGGGGAAGTGTAATCTCAAGTGACAGTTTGTTTAAAAATACATGCTTATATGTGACTGCATCGACGGCTACAGGGTGCAATTGCTGTTATTGCGTTTGCCATGCATTTTAGATATATATTTTTAAAACGTCCCAACTCAAAACATTTACCTTTTATGCCAAACAAACGTGTGTGTATGTGTGTAAAAGTCTACTTTGCCAAGATTTAAATATGGCTTGTGTAAATTTTCCCGAAAGTTCTGCCATATTTCAATTACAGCCGTCTCCTCCCTTGTACTGTAATTATATTGTAGCCGAGTCATCTTGAACTTGGGAAATGGGGTGTAGCTGTTGGAGGCCAGTTAAAAAAGACGTTTATATATTGTTTTAAAAATATATATACATTTTACCGATGTGTGGTCAGTGACGAATTATATTCGGACAGTTGGTAACGTATAGTATGAAGGAAGGTCAATATACATATACATTTATTGTGGATGTACAGTGGTTCAGTAGAAGCGGCAATACATGCCACATTAAGACCAATTAAATTCAATTGAAGGTTGGCATTAGGGTTGGATAATGTGACTCTTGCTGAAACCTTGGAGTTGATTTACCAGCAGAGGATTATTTCAAGCTGCCTCCTAAAATAACGAAAGGTTTTGATGGTTTATTGCAATCTAGAAGGCCAATTTAGCACCTTGAGCAATGACATTCAAGGTTACCTATGTTATGCCAAGTTCCTTACAAAAATTAAATTCTTAATAAAATATATCTATAATTGAAATGTACATTGTGGCAATTCATTATGCCACCTTAATAATTTTGTGTTGACTTTTCGGAATGTCATTTATAATAAGCTGTCCTGTATAAAGAGCCAGCTCTTGAGTGCATAATTTTTGTTGTATCACACTTTTTTTTAAAACGAGTACTCAGCCAATTAAGTGGGTGATTTAGTGGCCACTACGTTTATTAATGAGCCATTTTACACTAATGTGTAAGCAACTACGTGTGCTACCCTAGTGCAGCATTTTCTATAAATTGAATAGTTATCATCAGCCATGATTTATCCACTGCTTGATGAAGGCCTCCTGCCTAAGGCATTCCCCATTTATCAACAACTTGTGAGGCAGTAGTCCATCTAGTACCTACGCATACCTTGATTTTATTGCTCCATCTCCACGGTGATTGATTTTTTTGGGCGTGTTCCCTCCATTGTTAGTGTCGTCCACCGGTCATCATCGCTTTTATAACTTTCATATTTTCTCTTAAGAGTAATTCCAAGCAATACACGTTGCTGTGTGCGTCTTTCTGCCATTGATCCGTTTTCTTTGGCAGGGTCAACGTTTCTGATCCATTTGTCACAGCAGGTAATATGCGTTGATTAAACACTCTGTATATTGCTTTTCATTATGTTCAGGTTTTCGAAAGCACTCCAATCTGCTGTCATCCGCCTCTAATCCTTTTCCTCCTCGTCATCCTTAAATAACTGCTCGAGGTATACGTACTCTGATGTGTTTACAGTTGTGTCCTTCCAAACGGAATATATTCAAATGCAGCTTTATTACATTCTTCAACCATACCTTGTGTTTAATTTCCATTGCTTATAATGACCGTCATCTTAACATCTGAAAATGATTGATAGTATTCTTAGTTTATTTTTATAACTTTATTTCTCCAATCCAATTTTCTGAAAGCATCTTCCAATATCATCATGGACATTTATTGTATGTGGACTCGGGCAGAACACATCGCTGGATGGGATGATGAACCATTGTTTAAGATTTATGACGGAGTGGTATCCAGAGGTGAGAACAAACCCGAGATGACATCTACCATGGAGAAGGAGTAATTATTTCCGCGCATGTGCAGGAACTGTATGGATTGTTGAATAGCAAACCCCCACACATGGCGATGGCTTGAGAATACCTTCCTCCAGCCCGTGAAATTATTTGAGACGAGACCTATTTTGTGTGCTGGTTTCAATGAGCACATACTCAACATTTATAAGCTCGTTCATCTTGTGCTCTGTCAATAACAAGTGGGATGTAACTGATAGAAAAACGCAATTGGAATATCGTAATGTGTATGAACTATTAATAAAAACGGATAAAGTAAAAATGTGGACCATAAAAGTCCTTCAAGGATGGAGGTTGGGACGTTCAGAATAACAGAACCTGGATATCATTAATAGTCACAACCTTTTACGGTGTATTGTGTTTGTTGATCGTTTTACACTTAAAAGATCATTTCAAAAATACTGCACTGGTAAAAATTAAGGCGTCACCTTTGAAGGAAGCACGATAGCACTGCATGTAACAATCGTGAAATAAAACCAAACGTACAGTAAATTTAAAACGTCTTACACACAGTTGCTCGTTTGCCCAATTGGTCCGTTCGGGCAAGTGCTATTAGCAATCACTTTTCAAAAGAGGCCAGCATCATACGCACGAGAGAGGTTCGGCGAGCACCATGCCCAGCTCTTTTCGCGCTGGTGTTGATGCGCACTCGCGTTAGGCCAAGCCACCCTTTAAAAATGTCGCATCCGGTATCAATATCAATACTCGGGTTCCTGGCCAGGATAAATAAAAACCTCCGGCTTGGGTTGTAGTGCTTTTTGATATAACTCATCATGCTATTATTTCCAACCAGACACGCATATCCCCCCACCCCCACCCTCTTAAGTCTGCACAAGCTGTTGGGAAAGTGCTGCGAGTTCTCGTGTTTATGATGGAACTGCACACCGAAAGGGTGTCGTGACCAGCACCGTGCCAGGATCGCCCTCTTTTTTTTTATTCCCACCATCATTGATATTGACGCACCACACCACGTACTTATTTTAGGCGGCAGTCAGATTTCAGTGCAAATGAGCAATGATATGGTTGTTCAGTAATTATTCCCAGGGCGATTCAATTGTAGCACAGTGCATTGCACAACAACCAACATTATTTCCAAAATAACAACAACCATTTTCCACTAAATCAAGGTGACAATCACCATGCCGCTTGCGCCAGGCTAGGTGCACTTGGAAGCCTTGTGAAGTGTTGAAGGCTTGCTGGCAGGAGATCGTGAAAATGGCTCAGGTGGTATGGGTTTACTGACTGGCATCTGGCACTGTTTACGTTCTCCACTGGAATTTCAGCATTTACGTAATACACATACAGGTGGGGACATCCAAGATTACATCCTGGGAAGGTTTATTTTAAATGCTTGTATACATTATACACAAACCATTTTCATATTGGCTACATGTAGCTGTTTACAAATCACTATTAAGAGACACCCTTTCACCGCATCAAGAATGTCCATATAATACTTTTTTAATAACACTTTATGTTTTAGCAAACGTTTAAAAAACTGACAGCATTTGCACATACAATAGTGTTCAGCAGTGTGAGGAGGTACTCCAAGTAACAGTCATTCCCACTTTACAAACAACTTCTCTTTCATTTACAAACACATTGGTTGCAAATGGACCTTTATGTATTGGCGTTCTGTATAGAATGCGTACAAACCACACGGTGTGTGCATTGTATAAATACACAGGTTTTTTTTGTTATTTTTGGCAAATCCTTATTCGCAGCAACGTTTTCATCCAAACGAAAATGTATACAGAACTAACGTATACAAATCGGTTGCATGTGGGCATATTGTCATGCTTTAATTAAAAACTGTTTTCGTAGCTGCTTGTGTGAGTATGTGCATGACACATACACGTGGAGTGGTTTGGAAGGCTCAAGTTGGGTTTATCTGTGATCTCCTGATCTCTGTGGTCGAGCATTTCAGACCTCTGGACAACCATTGGGTCCCACTGTTTCTGAGTTGACAGAGCAGAAGCTGTCTGAAGGTCTTGCGGAAAATCCTGTTGCAGAGCGCGTAGCACACCGGATTGACAGTGCTGTTGACGTAGCAAAGCCAGTAGCCGATGTTCCAGAGCACGGGCGGCACGCAATCTGGACAGAAAGTTGACATGAGCACCATGATGTTATAGGGCGTCCACGTGATGATGAACGCCAGGAGGATGGCGCTTAGCGTCCTGGCCGCCTTCTTCTCTTTGATGAGCGACATGCGCTTGCGTGCCGTCACGTTCACCTTGAGTGCCGCTGACGTAAATCGCTTCGCCGTTGAGAGATCGCGCATTGAGATCCGCGTCGAGGACGACGACGCCGCGCAGACCTCTCGCGTGCCGCTCGAGGACGAGTGCTCCGACGTGTCCGACTCCACGGGAGACCTCTCCGAGGCCGTCTGCCGCAGACTCGGCGAAGCGCCGTCCGTCTGACCGCTTCGGTCTGAAAAGTTGTGGCTCCGCACTGACCGTACCCTGGCCTCGTGGCTCGGCATGGAATCCCGCATGTCTGCGTTCTGTGCGCTGAGCCGTCCCGTCACCTTGGACGCGTGCATGGCGCTGCACCTGCCGCTTGGGAGCACCATCACCATCGAGTATATTGCCCTGTGCTTCTTGGGCGCGTCGTCTTTCTCGGAATAGTGGCTGCTTGCAGAAGTTGCGCCGTTATCCTTGCTGCTGCTGTTGTTGCCCACGCGTCTGCGCTCGCCGCTCACCTGCGGGGTGTCAACGGCCTGCGTTGATTCCTCCTCCTCTTCCTCCTTTTCATCCTCCACCATGTCCTCTTCCTGCTCCAACTCCTCGCGGCCCTCCGAGATGGAGCCCTGCAGCATGGCCAGGTCTCGCGCGCGGTTTTGGATCTCCTTGAAAATGCGCCAGTAAATCGTGGCCATGATGGTGACGGGCAGGTAGAACGCTGCGATGGCTGTGCAGAACGTGATGATGGGCTCCGACAGGAACTGAATGCGGCACTCGTCCGGTGGCACGGTCCGCTCGCCCACGATGTACTGCCAGAAGAGGATTGCGGGCGCCCAGAGCACGAAGGACACCACCCACGCCAGACCGATGAGCAGGGCCGCGCGGTGGGGAGTCCTCTTGGCACGGTACGTGAGTGGCCGAGTGATGGAGAAGAAGCGGTCGAAGCTGATGACCAGGAGATTCATCACGGACGCGTTGCTTGCCACGTAGTCGAGGGCCAGCCACAGGTCGCAGGCAAGGCTGCCAAGCGCCCAGTGGCCCATGATCATGTAGCACGTGAAGAGGTTCATGGAGAAGATGCCGATGATGAGGTCGGCTACCGCCAGGCTGAGCAGGTAGTAGTTGTTGACTGTGTGCAGCTGCTTGTTCACCTAATTATGTAACAAGAATACAGCACAACAATGCCTTTATTTGACGTAACATCAGACCGGTTAGCAAAAATGAGCATACCCATCGATTATGTACCGCTTTTCCAACATGCGTTTGTCTTCGGAATAAATGTATACTTTTATCCTGAGTTGGAAATCTTAAATAATTGTGAATTCAAGATCAAACGGTTGCTGCAAGAGCATGGAAATATACAAAAACGATGCATGTGTGCTATGCCATTGCTCATAAAGGTTTAACAGATTTCATGAAGAGAAACGGTTGTGAAAGTCAAATAGTGTTCTTCCAGTGCGCATTTGCGCTGAGATAGAAACAGATAGGTAAGGAATGTGGCAGCCGCAGAGAAGCAATCCGTTGAATCGAGATGAATATGACGTAAGGAGAGGGCTTTTTGTTAGAAGAAATCTATACAGTACTGTACAAATATCACCACATTGGGAATGGAAGATTTACAAATTTAAATGGAGCGTTTAACCCAGTCATCGGGAGTTACATTTGTAAGATGATTGGTGAAGCAGAAAATATTAGGAAGATAGAGCAAACAAAAGTCTGCAACGTTTTGTTGAACTATAGCAGTCAGCCATTACCTACCCATTGTCAAGACTTACCTTGAACCAGCCTCTAAAGAAATGTATTTGGTTGCAGTTTCATACTTTGTACTTGACATGAACATTGTGCATCACTATAGAAAAATAATCACTGGTTCATCTTCTTGGTTCTTTCGGTAAAGTCACGTAGACGGGAAATAATAAAATAATACAAATAAAACAATAAAATACAATTCTCACGACGTTTCGGCCACAACGCAAGCAGCCGTCCTCAGGTGAAGAACAGATCTGTCGGAAAGACAGCGTCGGCTGCTTGCGTTGTGGCCGAAACGTCTTGAGAATTGTATTTTATTATGTTTTATTTTTATTATTTTATTATTTCCCTTCTACGTGACTTTACTGAAAGAACCAAGAAGATGAATCCCTGCAGTCACGATAGCTTCAAATCGAAAAATCACTGGTTCGTTTATGGTTATTTTTTTGTGTGATTCTATTTGGCTTATGGCTCATTAAAATAAGAAATGTTAATACATACTATTCCCTGAAGGATGTAAATTTTAGTTTTTTTTTTAATGAATAGTAAATTATGTATTGATGCACAAGTGAATGGGAAGCCAGTGGAAGGGCTTGTTGGCGTGATGTGGTGAATGTGGTCGCCTTTTTGTGAGTACGATTTATGAGCCCGGTGGCCGGATTGTGCTTTGTGACTGAGGGCTTTATTTCACACTGAACATTTCCCAATTCGCTGGTAGACTGGAGTAGGCACGGGACTAATATATGACAAAGGGTATACTTAATGTAGTGTGCCGGGCACGGAAATTAATTTAGGATTGTTGACTAGGGCTGGCACCTCGAAGGTCCAAAAAAACCGGGACATATCGTGGGAAGAACAATATCACAACATTTACATGCAATTGAGAGAAGGAAAAAAACCCATCACTTGTAATGTTGTTACATTCCCAGGACAGCTTCCTCAAAAATACGAACGTTATGTGAAATCCGGGACAGGTGACAACTCTATCGGTGAACCGAGTTTGCCCCCCTCCATACCTTGAAGCTGACCAGGACCAACACGTTCCCCACTATGGTCGCGAGGCTCATAACGCCGGTGAAGAGACCGATGCCCACCACCTCTAGGACAGAGTGTCCGCCCAGCGGGTCCAAGGGGTGTGGGTCTTGGACCGCCTCTCCTCCACGTGTGGTGTTATCCCAGGGAGAGGAGTTTGACGAGACTGATGAGGTGGCGTTGGTGAGGTCACGTCGAGGGTAGAGGAACGCCGCCGCGTGAGTGGCATTTAGCTGATGGACCGTCCACGTGGTGGTGGAGTTTGGAAAATGCATGGTGCCTCAGCTGGATGGACTTGTCCAGGTCTCTCTGAAACACAGGGTGAGTTGATGTTTGTTTTGTTAGTATTCATGAAGTAAATGTTTCGTTGGAATGTGTGTTGCTGGGTACTCAAATCTCACACAGCTTCAGCTCAGACCATTCGCCTGCCCAGGGTTCATAAAATGAGTAATGTGAAGGCAACTACGGTTGACATTTGATGTTCATGCACTCTGCCTTGGCTGTGTTCTTGACACACCAAAAAATATGGCATTGCAAAAACGTATCCTCGAGATAGTGTAGATTTAAAATGTTTGTAAACGTGGCATTGTGTGTTTGTTATGTGTCATTTGATATCCCGGACACCCTTGAAAACGTGATGATCCGTCAAGGACTTTTTAAAGTGAAATATGTTTTTAAATAAATAAATGTTGAGTGAATTGATATGAGCGCTACCTAGTGCTCGTTTGAGTAAGTACATTTATAAACGCACATTCATTACATGTTGTAATTAGCCCGTTATCCATAACGGTTGTCGGTCAATGGCAACTGATGAATTGTCCTCTGAGCTTAGTGGCGTCTCTAACCCGATTAGAGCAAGTCCTTCATTCCATTCTGTCAAATATTTAAACTTTACAAAGGGGCCGTCCATAAATGACGTCACGCCATTTTTGACCCCCCCCCCCTCGTCACGGCGTCACAAAAAGTAAATCCCCCCTCAAATATGACGTCACAAAGCTCTGCCCCCCCCCCCCCAAAATAAGACATGCTTCAAATCGCTTTAAACTATTGTCATTGTAGTGCGTATTTAATGTGGCGCTGCACTCTGATGTTGTAGGAGAAAACATTTTTAAAAAAGTCAATTTAATTAAGTAGAACGTGTTGTCTATATTTATTTAAAGTTGCGCATTTTGATGTGACGTCACATTTCTCACCCCCCCCCCCCCTCGTCACATATCGTCACAAATGTCTGACCTCCCCCTAGGTGCGTGACGTCATTTATGGACGGCCCCAAATTCCAATTGTCGCACGCCTGTGGCTCAGTAAACATGCGACGTTCGACCAACGTTGGCTCAACGTTTCATGTTTTTTCAACCGAACAAAACCTAAGAATATCAACGTTCCATGTTTACGAGGTGGGATTCGGCACCACCATCTGGACATTGACACTGTAAATCCAATCATTTAATTCATGATATATTGAGGAATGCGTTATGGAAATGACAAAGCGTGCAATGGCCAAACTAGGATATCCTGGGCTTGTGCTTGCCCATTTAAGGAGCAAGAATAGACAAGTAGACACTTTTTTTTAAAGTGTGTTAAACCCACAACCACCCGATACATCCATGTTTTGTTTACGTGACAAACCTTTACTAAATGGTTGGTGGTGGCGGGTTCAACGACGCATTTATATTTACGCGATCTAACCCCAAAAAAACACTATTATGGATATTGGTCGCGAACAGCTGACATGTTCACATCAATTCCGTGAATTGTCGAATCGAGACAAGATTGCAGGTCTGCATCAGCTCACCCCGTGTAATACTGGGTGAATTGTCTCGTTACACGACTCCAGTGATGTACCAACGATCAGATGATGTATTACTGGTAGGAACCTCCCTCCTGGTTACACCAGCCCACAGGGGATGATTGTGTCCATCCGTCCGTCGTGCAGGGAGGGGCTGGGTGGGGAGGGGCTGGGTGGGGAGGGTGGGACTGGGTGGGGGGTGGGGTGGAGGGGCTGGGTGGGGAGGGAGGGGCTGGGTGGGGAGGGTGGGGAGGGTGGGGCTGGGTAGAGTGGGGAGGGGCTGGGTGGGGAGGGGCTGGGTGGGGAGGGTGGGGAGGGGCTGGGTGGGGAGGGTGGGGCTGGGTGGGGTGGGGCTGGGTGGGGAGGGGCTGGGTGGGGGGTGGGAGGGGTGGGGCTGGGTGGGGAGGGGCTGGGTGGGGAGGGTGGGGCTGGGTGGGGAGGGGAGGGTGGGGAGGGTGGGGCTGGGTAGGGTGGGGAGGGGAGGGGCTGGGTGGGGAGGGTGGGGCTGGGTGGGGCTGGGTGGGGAGGGGCTGGGTGGGGGGTGGGAGGGGTGGGGCTGGGTGGGGAGGGGCTGGTCACCCCGTGGTGCCCTTATAAAACTCAACGTTTAACCTACTCACGCCGGCTTGTGCCCGCCCTCACAGTCGGGCATATTTGCGGAATACACCACGCCGCCATTGACCCTGCAGGCCATTGACCGAGCAACCCAACGTTCCTACCAGCTCCCTCCACAGGAATGTGTTAGTTTGTCGATCGGTGACTTTTTTTAAATCCTTTATATTAAGTTCACTTGCTTGCTTGCGTGCTTGCTTGCTTACGACCGTGCAAATCCTTTCGGTCGTTTTTTAACCCACTTCCCGTGATCCAATCGAGCTGACATTTTCCACACAGACTCGTTGTGCGTGACAATTAATGTTCGTGAAAAAAGTTTTTCCAAAATTTTACACTTTTTAGGACAAAAATATTATATTTAATTACCAATTGCTTAATGGTGCCGTGCAACCATCTGACCCATAGGTGGCAGCCATCTCAAGCCAGAGGACGAGAGGACTCTAGCCGCCACGCATATAAAGGATTTATAGTGAAAAACTTTGTCTTTACGGGTTATACTTGTATTACTTTTGGAAGGTCTCTCTCTCTCTCTCGCGACACCTAGCGACTTTCCACGTGGAAGTTGCCGGCGCTGAATTTACTTCAGAACGCCACGCGGCGATGGGGCTGAGTCTTTAAAGCCTTACACGTTGCTTGCAGTAGCGGCACACGATTACATTTCTGCCCTCTTATTTACAATTACAATTGTTCTTGTATAATATTTGAAAACGCTGCGCCAGCTGTCATCTCCGTCGTGGAATACAAATATGTAAATGTTTATTTTGAGCGATGTTTGTGAGGTAAGTCAGCAGGACGCGCCGGAGACGCGGGTCCCGCGGGGGGCGAAGGCGCCTCACCCGGGCACGGGAGCCCAGGCGAGACCGAGGCTTCTGGCCCGTGCCGCTTCGTGTAACTTTTACGCGATGTTTGAGATATTTAACAACAACAAAAACCTCTTCCGAGGCCACTGTGCCTCGTTCGTTGCCCTTGCAATGAGGGCGGACCACAAGAGGTCGCTTTTTTATACCCACGCGTGTCAAAAGGTGGCTTTGGCAGTGAATTAAAGCGACACGACGAGAGGCCGTGCGGACTTTTGTGCCGCAAACTGCAGCGGCCAAGCCTCTCCACTGTCAATACTCTTCCCCCCCTTTAACTCATCTTCTATGTGCGTATGATAACAACACAGTCGTTGTAATTAAACACCAAGCTTAGCGATGTAACTATTTTAACTACGGTATTGTATACATGGTGATCTATTTTGATGTAAAGCTTTCGTGACTGCAGGGATTCATATTCTTGGTTCTTTCGGTAAAGTCACGTAGAAGGGAAATAATACAATTATATAAATATAAATCTATATTTATATAAAACAATATTTATATTGTACTACTTCCCTTCTACGTGACTTTGCCGTAAGAACCAAGAATATGGTGATCTATGTTATGTACAGTACAGGATGGTCCGGATGTCTTGTGACCGCCCCAATTAATTGAGCCCGAACATTTTTTTTGTATACACCCTTTGCATGTTCATTTCTGTTTCAAATTAACATTACTTTAATTTTTTTTTTTAATAAAGTTTTGGAGAATTTAAATGGAGGGGGTGGGGTCACAAGACATCTGGACCACCCTGTACTGCAGTGACATTTGCGGGAGACGTGCCAACATTGTGTGCAGATGCTTTGAATTAAAATGTCTCACTGCGTGCTGTCTCCCAGTCATTCTAGCTTGGGTATCTGTGCACGCGTCATCCATCCGGCGGTGTAACAACATCATGAGGCCGGACGAGTACAAGCAGCGGCGCAGCGTTGAGTACAGGCGGCGCCAGGGAGGCCGACCACCGGGGGACGGGGCGCCACCTGCGGCCGTCAGGGGACAGCGCAGGGGGGGCGGCGGCCCCCATCACCCAGGGAGGCCATGGGACCCCCAGGATCAGGGACCCGGAGCCCATCACCAAGGGAGGCCCTGGGACCCCCAGGGTCGAGGTGCGGGACCCCATCACCCAGGGAGGCCATGGGACCCCCAGGATCAGGGACCCGGAGCCCATCACCAAGGGAGGCCCTGGGACCCCCAGGGTCGAGGTGCGGGACCCCAGCGGCCAGGGAGGCCATGGGGCCCAGGGCAGCGAGGGAGGATGAGAGCGGGGGCGGGGAGGGCGCGAGGGTGGAGGGGAGGCCACTCGCAGCAGTATGGCAGGGACGAGTCGGCTGGATTTGGGGTAAGTTTCCCTCATGGGGTTGGGGTTCCCGTGGTCAAATAACGCAATGGTCCACGTAGTTGGTGGGGGCCCTCGCCATCCACAGTGTATGGCGATGTGGAGGAGAGGGGTGCTCCCGGAGGAAACCCATCAATGTTGAATGATAAGAGCTGAACAATGTGTCCAGCTATGTCAGTCGTCTACTTGCTGCATAGCCCAGCAGATCACTAGATGAAATCCATGTGATTCATCAACCTCCGTCTCCCATTATCTGCATTGGAGGGGTGTCACATCATGTTTGGCTTTATTTGAAATTTGGCCAATTTATTTTTGAGTGTTTTGCTGCTTTGAAGCAAGTGGCATGTCCAGAGCAAGCAAGTGGTATGCCCAGAGAAAGCCCAGCCATTAGAGGGTAGAACACTCAAATTATGTTTTTAAATGTCGTTCAGAAGCCTGCCTCCTTTAACTTTTAACAGGCTTCTCTTTCGTCAGGTTGGTTGTATTACATGCACATTTTGTCTCCAGTTGTGCTTCATCTAGAAACACTGCTATCAAGTTACTTTCTTAGATGCATGTGCAACTGCACCTGACTTGCGTACATCAGAACCCCATCATCATTTTCTACAATGGAATGGCAAAAGGGTGGTGAAACTTGCAAAAAGTGGCTGAATGACTTATGAAGTTGTAATGTCACACTTATGTCAGACCACTCAGCCACCACGCTTTTCATGGCAGAAGGAAAAGGTGTGACCAGGTTATTTTGACGTTTGAGTATCAGTCGCGCTTTTTATTTGCTCATTCTAGGAGGTGGCGCTGTTATGTGTGATCTGCGGTGTGTAGGCTAATGAGGAGGGAGCGGATGAAGATGTGTGCACGAGATATGAGGAGGAAGAGGAGCGGCGCTTCTCCCGACGGAAGATTGTCAGTAATTGGGATCGCTATGGGGGCGGCCAGGAGCCAGCCGCTGGAGGGGGGAAGGAGGGTCCCGTGCTGGAAGAGGAGTCTCAGGCCCCACGTGGCTCCGACTTCTCTGAGCTCCTCAGCTCAGCTGGTGGGTGTCCAGTGCCTAGAGTGCAAATGCTGCTGTGCTTCAGTGTTTGTTACGCTCGGTTGCGTGGCTTTGCGATTAATGCAAAGCTTTCCATCGAGCCAGTTTTCACGGCTTAAGGATTACTGCAGTCGTTCCGGTAATCCTGCACATCATTATCTTAGCCAATGTTATAAGGCAGATTTTAAATACCCTTTAGCATCTAACAGAATAGGTCATTGTCTGCTCGTATAATAACATTTCAATTTCCAATATCATTTGCATCCGTTGTATTTATATGTAAATAACTCTGAAAGTATTTATATTGGATTGATCAGTTTACATTTACAATGACAGCTGTTTGTACTGTATGCTTCTCAACTGGGGAAAATCGCAAGTCAGACAATTTGCCAACAGGAGGCAGTATTGGGAAGCTTTACATTCTATTCTGAGTGTATGATAACTAAGGCTGAACCAGAACACCGGTTTTAAAATTTCCCTTTGCGATGTTAAGATGTTTAGAATGTGTGCATTGAACGCGCTATACATCCCTGGCGTTGCGTTGTACCACATTTCAAATACATCCTTTGATAACAAGGTCCTGTTTTAGTTTCTGGGCAGTGCCACCCATTAGTCACCCTGAGACTTAGAATTCTAAATATATTCCAATAAAATGTATCATTTTGAAGTTAATTACGTATAGCTTTAGTACCTATGTTTATTCATTGAATAAGTCAGTTGTTTGATACATTCCTGAACTGATTGCACCATCCCAGCGTGGATGAAAAAGTTAGTCTGTCTGACTAAATCTGAGACCATTGTGTGTTATGGGCATTTCTCTCTTCTCAAAAAGTCAAAAGCCACAATGATTGTAATCCAGGTCACTTGTAAATGAGACAATCATGGTCTTTTCAGATTTCACCTGGTTAAGCAAATAAACTTGAACTTTGATCGCCCACATTTTGAAACTGTGGAACTGCTCTTCTAGTTTTAACTATTCTCTGTTGACCAGTTTCACAAAGAATGATATTCAATAACCAGCTCCTGCACAGCGGCAATTGTTCTTTAAAAAAAAAACGTTTTCGTCATGAATTGAGATTAAGGAAAAATTGCACCTGCAACTGGGGAACGTTACTGATATTAGTGAACACTGTTACATTTTATCGTCTGCTCGCAAGCGTGTGTGGCGCATTGCAGTGGCTTCCTGCGGCAGTACCAGGCGGCGTCAACATTTGAACTATACAACATCTGCAAACCGTCCCTTAATTTGACAACCATGATAACCATGCCAATTCAACTGGACGATGTTATTATTTAAGTAACATGTTTATAAATAACAGCCATACAGTTAACCGCTATTGGATTTCCATTTGCACACAACATGTTGCCCAATTTCATGCAATTGTACAACTCGAGATGAAGACCAAGAGGTCATCATGCCCATTACCTTTGATGACATGACACATCTCCATCACTTCCACCTGTGAGATCCTGTAACCATTGCAAATTTGACCCCATTCGACCAATGATTGTTCTTACCTACTCATAAATTGTTCCACTTCTGTAAAGTAAATGCATTTGTGTGCATTCTCAATAGTACAGTACCATAAAGTATGCAGGCCAGTTGGAAAACTGTTACGATGGTTGTCCAATCCCATGTCATTGATGCCCTTTGCAAGAATATGTAAAGTCTTCGTAAGACGTACCATTCAAAACAAATGTTTTTAAAGTAATTATTAAACGGCACTTCATTGTTGTGTGGGAAAATTATCAAGGGTATTTTTTCTTTTGTTACCTCATTCTTGCCATCCTACGTAGCGTCTGTGATTAATATTCTATTTATATGTGTACGGATTTTTCAAATCAAATGTTTGTCTGTAAAATAGAAACCAGTGGTTAATTTGGCAAGCTGTTTGGCTTTTAGAATGTTGACATTGGAAGGATTTGCAATGATGCACTTTTTTCCACTATCAAATTATGCCAAGTATATATATACAAAAAGTAGAGTCAAAGTTTTGCTCAAATAAACATCGGATCAGTGTTAATCTGTATCGATGGCCTTAGGCCAGTAGTGAAGGCTTCATATTTCCATATAAGAGGTCAGTCTAATCCACAGGGTGGCTACTTTTTACTTCTCACATAGTGGTACTAATTAACAATTCAGAGAGATGACAGACTGAGTTCATGCTGATTGGGATTTAAAATGGTCAAACTTCCGATTGTGATAACAGTGGAACCGCGTGAAGGTTGCACTGCTTTGTGATTGAAAGGTGAGCATATATCTGTGATTGGCTCGTCAAGCTTCAATTGTCCTGCCAATACAGTCTCAAAATTTGGACCCACTATTTGGCTAATGAAGTAGGAAGCAACTTATAATATATAAGGATGTATCACTAACATTCTAGATTTGAAGTTTTCGTGACTGCAAGGATTCATACTCTTATTTTTTTTCGGTAAAGTCACGTAAAAATAATATAAATAATAATAGAAATAAAATTATAAATCAGTTTGTCACAGCTAGATTTACCGTATCAAGTGATACGGTAAATCTAGCTGTGACGGTCCCACCTGATGACGGAGACTTGTGTTGCCTCCGAAACGTCGTGATTTATTATTTTATTTATATTTCTATAATTTTTATTATTTATTTTTACCTACGTGACTTTACCGAAAAAACCTAAGAGTATCACTAACATTACAAAATATATATGCAGACAATGTGTCCACATATCCATCTCCACATAAAAATATAAATGTTTTCTTAGACAGTCCATCAGCCGCACAGCCTTCAGGGAGTACACAATTTCGGCAGCATTGTTTCAAGACAAGAAAACTGGACTGGTTTTGACACAATGGGCTTTCTTGAATCAATGCTGGTGTACTGCCAATCTTGCAGGGAAGTATCCTGTCTTCACGCTATGGGGTCTTAGTTTGACGCAAAATGATATAACATATAACTCGAAGTAATAATTAGTGGAATTGTGGAAATTATGAATAATGATGAATAAAATAACTAATATGTACAGCTCTTAGGTATCTCCTTGTGTACACTGTTGCAGTTTAAAACGTTACTCGTCCATTTTTTAAGTAGTTGCATAATGTGTTCACAATCTTTTGCACAAAAACATGACCTTGTCAACACACACCTAAAGAATATGAAAAATATTTCAACATGCAAAGATACATTTCTGCATTTTAACGAAGTCACACTGGTGAGGAGGTTATTCTTTTCAAACACCTATTATGATCGGTGTTTGAAATTATCAGTTGTTTTTGTTTCGATTTAAAGCTTTCGTGACTGCAGGGATTCATATTCTTGGTTCTTTCGGTCACGTAGAAGGGAAATAATAAAGTATAGTTTTATTTGAATTATTTTATTATTTCCCTTTTACATGACTTTACCGAAAGAACCAAGAATACTGTTGTTTTTGTCCTTTTCTGTCCGTTGCTGATGTTGACGCAACATGCACATTTCTTCTTTTCGGCAACTTTAGAATGAGCTTAATTCCAGGTACAGATAAGCCCTTACAACCAGACACCTATCAAAAAGAGATTGATAGTTCGTCGCATTTCTCCAGGATAAAGATTCTGATTCTGAACTAGTTCGCACAGCAAGCAGGCAACCCTAGAACACTGGGTTAGTAACAGAGGAAGTGTGCCTATACATGTAGTTATAGGATAAAACATGCTTCTTACTGCAAACTTTCACACACAGTAAACATTGTGCATCACATAGCCTACAATGTTGATTTTAAGCTTTTGTGACTGCAGGAATCCATACTCTTTTGTTCTTTCGGTAAAGTCACGGATGCTTGTGTTGCGCCCGAAACGTCGTGATTTATTTTATACCTACTTGACTTTACCGAAAGAACCAAAGAGTATAGCCTACAATGCTTCATTGACTAGCACAGCATAATAGAGTCTCGCAGAATCATAGATCAAGACATTATCGGTTCTCATGCCACAAATCACATCAGCATCAAAGCTTCGAGGAGCCTCTCGTGAAGCTGCATACAGCCTAATGGAGTTTCATGCTTGCCAATAAAACTAAAGTTAGTCTTTTAAAGCCCAAGAGCAAGGATCATTACGTAAATATCATCATCAGCCATGCTTAGTCTACTGATCGATGAAGACCTCCCCAAGCCATTGCCATCTCTCACAATCCTATGATGTGGTAATCTACCAAGCACTTGCACACAAGCAGATCTCATGACTCCACCTACTCAGCCAGTGGACGTCCTCTCGGACACCTTCAACTTCTTGGTGCCACTCCATCATTATTGTTGACCGAAGGCCTTCTGGTGATGTATCTCAAGCCCACTTCTTGTAAGAGTATGAATGTGAACCGGCATACATTCTCTCATCCATGTGTTTCTCTTTGTGTCTCAGGGTAACTCTATGCCTGCATTTTTCTGTGCTTTATTGCGCACTTCTAATCTGTTTGTGAATTTTTTCATCCATAGCCATGCTTCTGAACCCATGTGTCATCGCAGGTAGTGCACACGCATTAAACGCGGTCTTCTTCGGTATGTTTCTTTGGCATGTTACTTTTCATGATCAAGTTCAGCTTTCCAGAAGCACTCCAATATCCTCTCATACACCTTCAATGACTGCCCTAGGTTCACACACTGACGTCTTTTCCAGTTGTTTCCCCCCCGACAGATATCTCCAATAGTTTATTGAACTTGGCGTATGTGACCTTTGTTTTGCTCATATTTATCCTGAGCCCAACTTGAGCCTTTTTTATTAAGTTCTTCTACTTAAAGCTGCAGTTATCCCCCCCCCCCCCCACCTTATCTCTGTGTGTTGATTTTTTTTCACTCATGGCAAATGCTAGTGTTCATAGCTTATCAAATTTCCCAAATGAAAAGGTAGTCCTGCCAACTCACTCATTTTCAATCCTCAAATTACCATTTTGAGCTGCAATGAAGGAACGTGGGATGGAATTGCATGTTGTGTTAAATTACATGTCTTTGGGATATGACTAAATATTGGCTGCAATGCAGACCCACGTAAATGCACAC